CAATAATATATTAGTAGCAGTATATTATTGCCTAGTAATTACTTAGTCAAAGTCTTCTTCTTCTCCCTGCCCATTTCCCAATCACTTGGGGTCTGTACTGCTGATAGGATTTGGCTAAAGTTTTACGACTGGCCGCCTGCCTGACGTCAACTCTCCTTGGGAATGCTATTGATTATCGCGGAAGTTTTGTAATATGCACTTTCTATTTTGTTTTCTTTTAACAGATTAACTGTCCGCAAAATAGACACAATAGTTAAACAATCGAAATGTTCAATGACTCATGGGACAGGGAAACGGTTAAATTTTTTTTTTTACTATTACTCAAAATTTTAATGTAATTTTCGTATATATTTTGATATAAATTTTCATCACACAATAAATTTTGTTTTGACTTTGTCAATTTTTTTCTCAATATGTATATAAAATTTCTCCATTCTACGCGACATTGGCGAAGTAATTTGTGCCCAACTGGCACTCCTGGAAGCCACTAAACAAAAGAATAGAATAGAATATATAAAATTACTTAGTCCAAGTATGGATTATTATCAGAAATACACCTACAGGAATCACCAGTGGAAAATGATGAAATTATAAGAGATTTAATTTATGCCTTTTACCTACGGAATTTTTATAAACATAATTATTTATTTATTTATAAAAAATATAGATACCTAACAAAATAAATTAAGCCAACCTATAATTTCCTAATGAAATATTTAAAAATTAATTATTTTCTTTGTACGTAATCGTTATGTTGTATGTGTTAATAATAAATCAATTTATTCGTTCATGGAAAATGTATTAAAATATCGTTTATTTTTTATTTTTAGTTATATTTTTTTAATTTTGAATATTAAGTATTAAAAATGTGAACATTTATATTTATAAATTTTATTTCATTAAATTCATATTAGATTAAAAATGTAAGTTGAATTATAATAATTTATTTAAAATTAATAGACTCGTATGTATGGACTAGACAATCGGTTGTAATAGATTTTATCTTCTACTTCGCACGAGCATGTTGCAATTTATTTGCAAGCATAATAATTCAATATAATGTTTATTTTCTTTAAGACTTTGATAATTTTATGTGGTACATCTATACAGATAAAAAAAATTTAAGTGTCTGTTTGTAATGTCAAAATTCAGCTTTTAAAATAACAGCAACAGCTTTCAAAATAGCAGTCAAAATAACAGCTTTTTACTAAATGCGTATGAAATTATATACGATACCTACTTATAAGAAAATCACAATTTTTAAATTTTTTGTCTGTCTGTCTCTTTGTTCCGGCTAATCTCGTAAAGGACTGGACTGATTTTGACGGGACTTTCACTGGTTTCACTCACTACTTTTATTTTAGAAAATTTATTAAGGTTCCGCTCAAAAATATTAAAATATACCTAGGGACACACCCGAGCGAAGCGAAGGTAAGTCGCTTGTACCTATAAGTAATAATTATAAGAGTAATATAAGTAATAAGTGTAATATTAATAAGTAGATTTCTTTTTTTAATTAAACGTGGTTAAGTGGTATATTTCGGTATATATATGTTATTGATTATGTGATTGATTAGGTGATATATTTTGTGTTTTTAAAAAAAACTAAAAGAAATATTTTTTACGAAGCAAAAGAAAAACTTAGAAATTCCATGTATATATTATGGATGTGCATCGATTCGTTACGCCGAAGTGCATTAAACTCGTATAGTATGATTAACTATACATCATGTAGTCTACACGTGAATGTTTTATAAACATATATATACTTAGAAATTTATTAGCAATAAGAAATAAATTATTATATTTAATGCAAAATTTTTAATGTTATTTACAATGTACTCTTGACTTAGTCGTAGTTGTAGTGAAATTGAGTGAAGTCGTGCAATCTTTGGCAATTTTCTAATTAGTGTACTATACGTACATCGGCGTCTACTTACTATATTGGTTTTTATGCATGATAAAGGTAATAATGCTAAAATTATGTATTTTAATATCATTTAGAATGTGGAAACATGACATCGTAATTTGATGTCTTGAAATCACAACCTTTTTTTTTTTTTGTTGACGCTGGGGAAACCCATCATGGGGACCCTACCGGCCGTCAATGGGTAGGGTACTGTGAGACTCCTACTCACTAAAACCCACAGCGGAACCCGTCGCCGCAGTGCAATGGGGTGTGTAGGATCGCTTGCGCATTCACTACAACACCCCTGACCACAACCTAGACGGACATATTGATTTTCATTTTTATTATACTCGTATAATATATTTATATTCATTTCACTCAAATTTTATAATACACATAGTGTCGACACAAAATAATATTTCGCAATATCGTTTACTAATATAAATTATATAAGATCAAGGCTTATGAAATAAACCAAACCGCTAAGGTTCATGGTCACCAAAGCACTTTTGTGTATTTTACATTTCCGCACTTAATAGACTTTACAATACGGTATTATCAGTTTTAATAATGTCACACATACAGATACACTTATGTATTTAATACACTGTGAACAAATAATTGGCGGTTACAAGTCGATTGCAAATACCTAAGTGTAATTAAATGAAGGGGTTAGTTATAACTACAAGAATACATTATAGTGCAATTGTGCTTAGTTTGTAACTATGCAATAAGCTCAGCTATTTAATATTTAAATGACATAAACACATATGACACTACCTACTCTGCTTGAGAATTTCCGAAATACATATATTATTATTTCATTAAAAAAAACATATTAAGTTATATACAAACTTCAATTTTTTTTAATCCCATAGACGTTGATTTAAAAAAAATCTTAGAAAAGAAATTAAAACAATTGAATGATAGACACTTTGGCCTATTACGTCCATCGATTTAGTCTGGGCGCTAATGAATTAGTTATAATATATAAAATACTAGCAGAACCCGCGGCTTCGCTCGCGCTAAAACTACAAAAAAACACTCAAAAAGGTAGTTTTCATACAAACTTCCTCTGATATTTTATTCCCTTATGAGACGAATTTCAAAAAATGCTTAAAACACGTATTTAATTAATTGTATTGAGAGTATTAATACCAAGTTTCAAGTAATTCTGATCATAAATATTTTTTGGATTGTATTATAACATGTCTTCCCGTGCGAAAGAGATAGTCTCCCGTGGTAAAAAGTAGCCTATGTCACTCTCCAGCTCTCTATCTCCACACAAAAAATCACGCCAATCCGAAATTGACGTGAAAGAAAGACAAACAAACACACTAAAACGTTTATAATATTAGTATGGATGTAGAGATTATATTATGATCCTCTTCCTATCAAAACCTCTACTAAATATTTTTGTTAAAAATCCAGAAACTTACCTACCAATAATAAGTGTCTGAACATATACTACTATATTGTAAGGTATATCGTATTAAATAAAAAGATTACTCTAAATAGAGTTTGCAGTAACCTTGTTCCTCTTACAATTAAAACAAATAAAAATAAACAATTTACAATAATCAAATTAAGTATCAAGACAACAAATTAGATGCAAATGTAAACGAATACAACAGCCTACCTAACCTACTTTAAAACGACCATTAATTTGTACTGGAACACTTTAATACATTTTGTTACTTTAAACAAAAATAGAACTTATTACAAAACGTAAGATACTAAAATTGCTTACTTCCCAATTTGTAAAACTTATTTCAGACACCTACAAGTCACGAAGTTGCATTTTGCAATTTAGGGGTTAAAGCGAGAGGCGAAACAATTATCTTGATTTGCATTATCTTGCAGTGATGCTGTATACTTGAATTGTGTCATTGTAGGTGCATTATCTTAAACAATGATTAAAGCACAAAGAGCTTTAAATAAAAATAATATGAAAGCCAAATTAAATTTGCAATTTAATCACATAAATTGCAAATTTAAATGTATTTTGTATGCTCAATAATAATAAAATTCAAAACTAAGACAGTATTAACAGATATAACGTTAGTTATCTATACATATAATAAAATTGTAACTAAGCCGAATCTGTATATTAAATATTTTTTGGAAAATCTTATTGAAATAGACATTATTATCGATACAGAAGCCGAATCTATAGTTTTTAGAATTTTTGTCTGTCTGTCTGTCTGTCGGTTACCGCATCACAGAAAAACCACTGGAGGGATTTTGATGAAATTTGGTATGGTGATAGATGGCTCTCCTGGTCAACATAGGTATAGATACTTTTAACCGCGGGAAAATGTCTCATTTCTGAGAAAAAATACAAAAACTGCAATGTAAGAGTATATTAATATGTAAAACCTAAGAATTTGGTTTTTGGTCATCTGAACGCGGGCGGAGCCGCGGGCAATGCTAGTGTATAGATATAACGTGAGTGCATGAAAACAAACCCCTTGGTGCATGCACTCACGTATCGCCTTATTAGCGTGAACCCGACTGCTGAATTGAATTGAAGATGAGTAAGTTGACAATAAAATACTTTGTCATATCTTTTGTGTCCCATATCGTGTTACGGTGATGGTGACGCATGACATCCCATGATCCATGTCAGTTTGCATCACCTTTGATCGTGGCTTCGCGTATTCCCAGCTCCTTAAAATAGTGTTTTAATCAATTTTCAAATACCTAACAGCAGTGTAAGAATCAATAATCAAACTATTATTATAAATGCAAAGTATGTGTGTGTGTGTTTGTTTGTTACTCCTTCACTCTAAAACGGCTGGATGGATTTGGAAGAAGTTTAGTACACAGTCTATGACCTAGAGTGACACAAAGACTACAGTTAGGCACTTAGGGAGGCAAAAGCCTGAACAAAACGAGAGTAAGTGGGTAGTATAATGAAAAAAATTAAAAATGTCTAGCTTATACAATCTGTACCTAGTAAACCAGGTGAAGAAGCCATTTCGATTAAACCGTTATTGATTATCTCACTAAAATATATGAGTTGATCATAGTGTTACAAAGTATTATCATCAAGTAAGTAAATTTTAATTAAATTATCGGATTTTTGCAGTTGGCCGACGAGCTGCCAGCTCAACTATCAGAGCTGGAACTCCGGCCACGTACTCGTACCATGGCCCCTTCCTACAGCCTGTGCAAGTTGACGCCAGAGGATAAAGAGCAAGTAATTGACTTTTTAAGGAGGTAATTGGAACTTCATATGTTATTTCTTTAGTAAATTATGTAAATAAAATAAGTGCATTCTAAGAAATGCAATAATAGATGTGTGTAAATGATACTAATTAAGTTCTTACCTACACCACAGATGACATAAAACTATAGGTACTACTTACTAGTCCTATACTATAAAACGTACCTTCTAAGTAGTCAATGTTTTTTTTCTATACATATAATAAAATTGTAACTAAGCCGAATCTGATCATTAAATATTATTTGGAAAATCTTATTGAAATAAAATTTTATCGATACAGAGGCCGAATCTATGGTTTTTAGATTTTTTGTCTGTCTGTTACCGCATCACAGAAAAACCACTGGAGGGATTTCGATGACATTTGGTATGGTGATAGCTAGTTATACGGGTCAATATATAGGATACTTTTTACCGCGGGAAAATATCTCAATTCTGAGAAAAAATGCAAAAACTGCTTACATTGCAGTATACTAATCTGTAAAAGCTAAGAAGTTGGTTTTTGGTCATCTAAACGCGAGCGGAGCCGCGGGCAATGCTAGTTTACAAATAAAGTACAAATTGAGTAAATTACGATTATAGTTGTTTACTTTCTTATATAATGTTGCACGATTTACACTGTAATATTTACACAGTAGGTACTTGTAGTTTATTAATTTTAACATTATGTATAATAATAATAAACAGGTATATTGTAAAAATATTTCACGAAGTAAATTGCCTAAGATATAAAAGAAATATACTTTTTTCCGACGCTATACGAGATTTAGGTACTGGTAGACGTCAATGTCGAACAGTAATGAAATCCCACAGGATGTTTTTTATTACGACAAAATTGAAAGGTAGTTCAACGGCTACTTTATAGATACGCTCGTATGAGTTTGTTATTGGAAAAATAAATTGGTTCCCTCTTTTTATGCTGACAGTAGACTTAAACGTAAAGTTATATAACTTAAAGAAACAATGTTCTTGTAATGAGCGAAGTAGTTGTTTTATTTAACATTTGCGGTATTCAATGTATTAGTATCACTTTGTTGTACGTTTTTGGAATAAATAAATATTGAATTATTCTCATCACATAAGAAATAAGACGTTCAAATATATGAAATAAGCAAAGTTTTGTATTTTTAGGAAAATCATGACTACCAAATGTACTATGATGGTAATAACAACGCACCGAATGAAGATGAATTATTTAAGCTATAAAGCATATGTACATATATGTATGTACTAGCGACTCACCCTCGCTTTGCTCGGGTTCGTCCCTAGATTGCTCCCCCATACAAACTTTCATCCCCATTTTCATCTCTTTAAGGGATTATTTCCGGGATAAAAACTATCCTATATCCTTCCTAGGATCTCAAACTATCTTTTTTCCAAATTTCATCTAAATCAGTTCAGTAGATCTAGAGATTACCCCCTACAACGTCACAAACTCACAATTCACAAACTCACAAACTTTACCTCTTTATAATATTATTAGTATAGATATGTGGAAACTTAAAAGATTGTAAATATTTTGTTTAAGTATCCTCTTCATACATATGTACATATACATACCATTCTTATTAAGCGCTGCAAGTTCGCAAAAAAAAAGAAAATGTCGGCTTCTTGCTAAAGTCATCTTACATAGGAAACCTAAGAATTAACCTAAGAAATATACACATTTTATTTTGGCTTAAATGTTTTATTCCACATCGCACACACCTAAACAATCTTTTTAAAGAAATCACAAAAGAACTGCAAAGAATTGTCTCCTTTTTTTATCATGAATATTTTTCTTTAATAGATTCTTCTTCCGCGATGAACCATTGAACCTCACAATCAACTTATTAGACACCCCGGAATCCCGTTGCATAGAACTGGAGGACTATGCGTCAAGCACTCTAGATGATGGCGTATCAGTAGCTGCTATTGATGAAAACGGAAAACTCGTGGGCGTTGTAGTGAACGGGATCGTTAGAAGAGATGTAAGTAATTCTAATATATTTTTTGATAATTAATAAAGCTCATATGTCACAGAATTAAAAATGAACAAGATTTAGCTCACCCTCGCTTCGCTCGGGTTTGCCTCTAGGAAAACAGAGACAAACCTGCCCCACGAGAACCGTACATTTTTCCGGGATAATAGCCTATCTGTTATTCCAAGCTATAATCTATCTCTGTGCCAAATGTCATCCAGATCCGCCGTTCTGGCGTGCAAGAGTAGCAAACATCCATACTCACAAACTTTCACATTTATAATATTAATCCCTCAACGACCGCGGAGACGTCGGCGTTACAGTTAACAATAGATTTCTTAGAAATTTAATTAATTTCTTAGAAATTTACCTGGACGTGTTAATACGTATATATGTATTTTGTAATATTTACACACAAAATTTTTCAACACTATGTAAAAAATAAATAGGTCACAATCACTTCCTAAGTAGGGCCAGGTTTTTTTTTGTTGGGACATTAACAGACAGCACCATCTACTCGTAGTTCCATGGTAAGCCACATGGCTTGTGTTATGGACCAGGTAATTGGTACACTACCCATACCTAAACGTAACTATGCCAAAACTTTAATTACGTACATATTATAAATACAAAAAACCATGACTGGAGTAGGTAGAAGCATTCGTGCTCATCACACTAATCAAACGAATGCCCCCAGCGGACTCGAACCCACGACCGCTAGCACACTATTATTATTATTATTAATGTTATTATCCATACAGTCTTTGACCAACTTAGAGTTGGTCTCAAGAGAATCTATAGCCAGAAGTGCTGCTTGGCTATCTGAGTTGATGTAGATATTTTGGTTTCTAAGCTTCCTCTCCAGGATGACTTCAGCACATTTGTTGATGGCGAAGACCTCGGCTTGGAAGATGGTGGCCTCCTTGCCCAGATTGACACTCATGTCAAATCTAGGCTTAAGGCCATAGATGCCGCACCCTACATCAGATCCTTTCTTGGATCCATCCGTAAACCAAACATGACTGCCCTTTTTGTGAGACTCTTGGTTTTTTAGCCACATGTCCCGGTTGGGAAGATCTATTTGGTACTGTTTTGCGAAGTTAAACTCTGTACTCATGCCATCGACTGGCATTTTCAGAGTTTTGTGTTCGAATGTCAACTCCTTGAGTTTGTTCATATATTGCGATTGCAACTTTACATTCGATTGTGTACAGAGCCTGTAGAGGCAAGATAAGATAAGAGATATAGCGGAGCTATGTCCAACAATGCATTTAGAGCGTCGCCTGGTGCCGAGTGGAAGGCTCCCGTGATGATTAGACATGCCATCCGTTGTATGCTGTCTAGTTTACTCATAGTTGTCTTTTGTTTGGTTTTGTTACACCATACGACTGAGGCGTATGTTATGATCGGCCTTACCACGGCGGTGTACATCCAGAGAGCCATTTTGGGCTTGAGGCCCCACTTGGCTCCAGCCATTCGACAACATATCCAGAGGGCCATTTTGGCTTTTTGTATAATGTTGTTGAGGTGAGAGTTCCAGGTCAACTTTTGATCAATAGTGACTCCAAGGTACTTTACCTCATTTGATAGGTTAAGGGTTTTGCCATTGAGTCTGAGTTCGGTCAGCCTTTCAAGCTTCCTTTTCCTGGTAAATGGTACAATAACTGTTTTATCAGCGTTTATTGATAACTCATTTTCTCTGCACCATCTTGTGATGGTATTGAGAGCTCCTTGTAACCTGGTGGAAATTGTGTTCAGGCAGGGACCTCTTACTACTACAACAAGGTCATCTGCATAGGTGTATCGTAGTCGAGATCTGCCATGATTACAAGTAGTAGGTCTACAGCTAGTGTCCATAATAGGGGTGAAAGCACTCCTCCTTGCGGACAGCCTCTTGTAGTGTAGAAGTTGTGCGAGTGTTCGTTTAACGTAACTTTCGCACACCGGTTGGAGAGCATATATTCCACCCATCTGGTGGTTGTGATATCAACACCTTTTGCATTTAATCCTTTCAGGATCAAGATACCTTTAATAGGAAAGAAGTAAGACTAATAGGTCTAAAGGATTTGGGCTTGCCCTGTTGAAGCAGAGCTGGAAAAATTCCGTCTTCCCCTGCTGATTTAAATGGTTTGAATTTTTTCAAAGCCCATCTAATCTGGTTAGGCCTAAAAATGGTGTTGGCCATCTTCCAGTCGCAACTATTTGCCCTGTGGATGTAGTTTTCCTTTGGGTTTGATTCACTGCCGGTGACAGGGTACGATCCTGGGAAATGGGTTGCTCTTAAAAGTTCCAGCGTCTCCATCTCTGTGGTCGTGAAGGAATTGTCTCGCTTTTTTAAAAAGCCGAGAAAGATGTTTGGTGTCTTGGCAAGGACCTTGTGGATTCTCGCTCCTTTATGTGTTTGGGCGATATTCTCACAGAATCGTTTCCAAGATGCTCTTTTAGCTTTTCTGATCTCTTTGTGGTATTTAGTCAGAGCCTTCTTATACCGTTCCCACCCATACGGTGTAGTGGCCTGATTAAATAAGCGACGTGTGGAAACTCTAAGTCGTTCTAGCTTTTTGTTCCACCACGGAGTATTGTTGTTAACCTTAAGTTAAGCGCATTTCTTGGCCATGGTCATGAAAATGTTCGCTAACTTAAGTTAAGCCTCAAGTTTAGTTCTGTTCAATTTGCATTGAGTTGATTAGATACAGTGTTGCTTATAATTAAAGTATCATTTAGTCTAGATCTTTCTTTTGTTATAACATGTACAATTGTAAGAAAGTATGCGACCAGTTAGCGACCTATGTAATCTATACTAATATTACTCGTAGAGGTAACTTTTCTGATTTATGAGTTTGTGACATTGTAAGGGGTAATCTTTGGATCTACCGAACCGATTTAGATAAAATTTGGTAAAAAGATAGTTTGAGACCCTGGGAAGGACATAGGATATTTTTCATCCCGGAAATCATCTCTTAAGGGGGTGAGCAAGCTAGGGACGAACCCGAACGAAGCGAGGGTGAGTAGCTAGTAAATAAAGTAATTAAAATATACTAAGAACAGCACGAAACATAACAAACCTTTATTAAACAATTTAATAGAAAAACATGAGTTTTTATAGCGTAATAATACATAGATATTTTAATCTTTATGACTTAAATATCTGATAAGTGATAACGATTGAATAGTTTTGCAATTGATTTGCACTGTTAATATATCCTTTTGAGAGTATAATTAATTATACAACCTATAAAAATTACATCCTATTGCCACATTTTATAGGTGTATATTTTTTAATTAAACTAATATAAACATACATGTATCATATCATAAACATTACCAACTAAAAAAATAACTGCTTTTAATAAGCAATTATAAAAAGAAATGACGCGTATGATACATAAGACTCAGATCGTATGATATAAACTATTAAAAGTGAAATACGAGATTCTTATTCATTCTCAGACACACAGGCGTCGAAAACGTCACTTAATTATACGCAGTCACGTTTTTTCTACGTGCCTAGAATTTGTCATTTAATTCATACATTTTGAGATACTAGATTGATTCTTTTTTATTATTTAAAAAAAAAAGTTAAACAAAATAAGCAAAGTGACAGTTGGCCTTTCACATAAAGAGTTCCGTATATTTAATGCCTTAGTCTTGGCCAGATTTTCTTTTCATTTTATGTTTTATTTTAAAATTTCCGTTGCACTATTATAGTGATCAATAAGTTGATGCTTTGATTAATAATAATAATTGCACTATTATCATGTTAATTTTAACGATCGCAAACTTAACACAGTAATTAAAATATTAATACACTTTATTTTTTATTACTATAGGTATATACTCACATATACAATTTATTATTTGAATAACATTACATTTATTAAACACGCGTATAAAAAACTTAATTCTCAATTAGTGATCTCATAAAAAATGGTACCTATAAGAGTTGATTTGATAAAAGATTTTGCATAAATTGATAATTACCGCAATATATTGTGAAAACACAGCATTACTCCACTTCATTTTCTCTTTCGTTTTTCTATTTGTAATGAAATAGCGTTAAGCGCTAGAACATCAACTTCAGAACCGGGAATGTGCACGTTGGTGTGATTGTGCATCTGTGTCATGTCTCATGTAATTAGATTTCATTAAGGAGAATTAATAAACCATCTATAGGACAAATAAATAAAATTGAAGTGTCTGTTTGTAATGCCAAAATAACATGTGAAATTATATACAGTGCTTATACGCAAAAAACAATTTTTATAAATTTTGCTTGTCTATCTGTCTGTCTGTTTGTTCCGGTTAATCTCTAAAACAGCTGGACTGATTTTGACGGTACTTTGACTGCCAGATAGCTGATTTTGTAAGGAGTAACTTAGTCTACTTTCATTTTAGAAAAAGAATTAAAGCAAAAAACCTAAAAAGGGTAAGTTCCTAGTATAATATAAGTAGTTTTCTATATAATTGTCCCATGTATTACAAAAGACGGTAGGTAGTCGTTATGAGGTTATACCGAATAATATACTATAATAGCAAACGAAACTTCCGTGCAGGTGTTAATTGAATAAAGCTGGACGCAACGTGATTTTCAATTATTGATGTATGTCGTTCCATACCTCATACCCATAATCGTTTATGTAGCTATGCGATAATAGTTCTATTCCTAGCCATTTATTACTGGTTTTATTGACATAGGTTCTTATCTAGAGAACTTTAATAGCGAAATAAAGCAATCTACATATTTTGTTTTTTGCATTTTCCTCTCTATCAAACCGGTTAACAAATTATAGGATTAAAATTAACTTGTTATTTCAGTCATATTTATATATAATAATTTAGCCCAGAAAACAACCCTCTTCTAGGTACAGACCTTCTCTTAGTTCAAAAGAGATTTATAGGCCAACACGTCAATTTATTACTAAGTACAAAAGTTTTAAGCAATGGTAACCGTATTGGTTATGAAAAAAACGAAGTGACGCGAATTCAAATCCGGGTCTCGCACCTTTGAGATGTAATCAAGCGATATAGTTAAAAAGCAATGCTTTTTATTCAGACAATAGATTACATCATAAAAAAATTTTGATATTTGACTAGCAGATAACACGTAACGTTTTGTTAACGAACATACATAATACAGAAGAAATGTTATATGTTCCATTCTTATGTTACTTCCATTTCGTCAATCGATGCTAAATGAAAAACAGGTTCTATGTGTAAAGTTACAGCTTCAAAAATGATGTTAAAATGAATGAGATATTCAAATGCAACGTTTTCAAAATGAGAAAAAAATCATAACGCTTACAGTTTCCCGTTTCGGTTCTTTACTTTTAGTCTAATTTACAAAATCAAAATAGAAAAGCCTATTACCATACCTATCGAAACGCTATTGATTTTCTGCTTCCATCTCCATTATGCCAAGTTGTTTCAAACAATTTGTAAGCAAAGTGCGAGTGACAGAAAACCGATAAATATAAATGGAATCTCATCCCTCTTTTTAGGTCTAAAATAGCTGTTATTACATTTAATTAAATAACTTTTAACTGTAATGCTATAAAAACTAAAAAAATAAAATAAAGACACCGCGGACAGCCAACGCCAACAGCCGATGCAAATCAAATCTAATATATTTCGATACGTAAAATACATATTTACCTATTAGATATTCATATCCTAAAATATTGTAGGCTAAAAAAATTATTCCTACGAATTGAGAACCTCCTCCTTTTTGGAAGTCGGTTAAAATTACTTCATAACTTATAAGTATGTAGTAAATAGTTTTTTTATGAAAAATCTATGTTAACGACATAATGTAACCATGTGATTTGAGTCTTAAATATGTTAGTCGTATGCGCTGATTTATAGTTTTCTGTTAGTGATAGCGGATCTAACAGAAATCAGACAAACAGATATACTTAAATCATATAAATAAAAAAATACCAAAATCACAGCTTTAAAAAGCATCAAGTTATATTTTTCGTTTAGAGTCACAGATTTATGAGAAATTCTGGATATATTCAGCCTATTTTTAATGTTCCACTACTAGGCACGACCTCCCAATACGAGAGCTCAAGGGATCAGGCCATAGTCCACCATGCTGCCAAGGGCGGGTTGGCGGACTTTACGTGACTTTCGAAAACTTGCTAGGTTGTCTGAGAGGCAGGTTTCCTCACGATGTTTTCCTTCACCATAAGACAAGTGGTAATCATGTTGAAAATGATTTACACATGAAAATATGAGGTGCGAGACCCGGAATTTGAACCCACTTCACTCGATTTACCAAGAAAGCATATTACCACTGGGCTACCACTGCCTTGTATTCTGCACAATCTACCCAAAATGCAAACCTTACGTAACACTCCATATAAAAGATATATTGTAAGCCCTATAGATTAAACGACAGTAATGCGCAATATTTTCATATAACAAAGATTTTATCTTAATTACGACACGATTCAAGAATGATTTAATCCTAAGATACAACTACATTTATAACATTATGAATATATTTTATTTATGCTATAAAATTGTTGAAGTTGACGACATCTATTGCATCTATAAACATTTAAACAACAATAAGAAGATAAATTTTATTATTGGTACAAGACCATTTACTGTATCTTATATTTTCTTATAGGTAGAAAATCCTTACTTATGTAAACGCGAAAGTTTGCTTGTGTAGTTTTTTGTTCTTCTTTTATACGGCAACGGAAACTAAAAACGGAAACGAAAAATGTAATTTTGCATAATTATAGTATATAGGCCAAAGATTTTGATTACAGTTAAAAAGATCAAATATTAATAATTAATATTTAAAATATATTTAAGCAAATTAAAAGGATCTTGTGAAGCTAAAAAATCCGCTTCAGTAATTTCGTTTGAGAATGTTGAGCAACTGAAATCGGAGTTACCATATGTACCTACTGTACAACGAAATTATTTTAAAGTTTATGCAATACTTTATTAAATTTATATAAACTATAAAATCAAATGTAAACAGCCCGGTCATTGCATGCAAACATTCTAATAGAAATTTACATATTATCTGATTAAATGCCTCGAAATAAATTTATTGAATTATATTAGCATTCAACAAACTTTCATTAAATATCTTTATTTTATTTATTTTAGAGAATATAATGTTATAGCACTAATTACTTCTAGCAATTACTCCCGAAGAGGTAGGTACTTGTCGCCTTGATGCTACCAAACCAACCGCCAATATTTGTTTTACTTTACAGTAGACAGTTTTTTTCCTATTTTATATACAACGCTTTATATCTCAGATTGACGTATATGTGTGTAAATAAAATACACTTTTTCGGCTTTTTAAAATAACATGTGTATTTTATACCAATGGAATTGACATTCAAAAGTAATATATAAATCTGTATTAAAAACTCTTTAGGTAAATTGGTCGTTGATAAATAAGCACTGAGATGACGTAAAACGCAGAGGGGGGAGCTCAAAGTGTAACTTTGAATTTACTCGAAACGGATTATCCGACTATAATGAATGTGAAAGTTTGTATGAATCTGTGTGTTACTTTGTCACCCCTTCACGCTGAAGCAGTTAGATACAGATAGGCTGTGGCCAGGAATAAAACATAAGCTACTGCTATTTCTTACACCTAGAGCGCACCTAGCGAAGCGAGTGTAAGTGGCTAGTTTGAAATAATTTTCTAGTTATATATTTATTACATACTAGCGTCTCACCCTCGATTCTCAGAGATGAAATATTTCGCAGTAAAAAGTATCCTATATGTCGACCCGGATAACCAGCTATCATCATACCAAATTTCATCAAAATCCCTCCAGTGGTTTTTCCGTGATGCGGTCACAGACAGACAGACACACAGACATATAAATTTGGTTTCTATATCGATAACAATGACAATTACAATAAGATTTTCCAAAAAATATTTAATGTACAGATTCGACTCACAATTTTTATTATATACTTATATAGATTATCGAAAAATATACTAAAAACTATATAATGGATATATGGTTTCCTGAAATATTCCAAAACTTCTAAAACTATAAATATTCAATGTACCTACAACTTCAATTAAGTTTTTATTATGTCTACTTATGGATAATAAAATAAGCTACACGCTTACATATCCAGCAGAATTAAATTTGCAACTACTTAAAAGTTCATTGTCAAAACATATAAGTATTTTTTTTTCAAGTTTAACATGAACACTTTCTGTTTATTCAAACTTCTTATCGCTGCGAAAAAAAAACCTGATCTGTTTTGATTTGAATTAATTGCATGAATAATTTAACGGAATCATTGCTATATGATTATATGTATATTAATTATGTGTAAAATTCATATTCATATTTCACATACATACATTTGTTTTTCAGAAAAGTAATAATTATAATCACAAACATTTGAATTCGCGTCACTTTTCTTAAAAACAAGTGTAAAAAGATCTTTACTTAATTATAATAACGCGAATGTATATAAATAATAAATAAATAAATATGTTGGGTCATTAAAACACAGCACCATCTAGTTCCATGGTGAGCTACGAGGTTTGTGTTATGGATACCAGATAGTTGATACACTACACATAATATATATCTTTAAATACATACATATTATAAATATAAATACCCATGACTGAAGTACAAGCATTCGTGCTCGTTACACAAATGAAAGCCCCCAGCGGGACTCGAACCCGCGACCGCTAGCACAGCAAGTAGGGTCACTACGAAGTGGGCCAAATGTGTTGTCAATCGTCGTATGTTTTTCTTTAATGCAGTAACAGATCGGATCAACGTGTTTTATTTTATAAAGACGCTGACAGAATTTAAGGGTCATGATTAATACTTACATAAAATAAATTCATAATTATTTATTAAATACAACACAATATATAATAAGAAAGTTTTTTTAATAGGAAATAGACTACACAGACAAATCAGAAGACTGCCCAAATCCGAAATTCCGACGGATTCTCAAACTCCTGGGTCACTTGGATCGCGAAGCCAGGATTTGGGACAAGCTGCCACAGAGCTGTCAGTCGGTACTGGAAATTAGGCTGGCGTCAACCCACTCTGACTGGAGAGGACGAGGACTCATGAGAGCCATGTGTGAAGAGTCAGAGTAAGTAATTTTTTGACTATTTTCTTTTAGGGATAACTGCCTGCCACTAGTATGTTTTATAGTATAATAGTATGATTTAAGACCTAACGTAGCGTAGGTTCGAACTTGCGACTGTAAGTGTAGTGGAATATACTCAAATCTGTATCAGTAGAATATATATATGTCAATATAGATATGATCTTATAAACTCATTCAGAATTCTGCAATATTTTATCTATTTCTTTAATCATATTATATTTTTATATTATACAGCATATATTTTTATTGCACGGTTAACGATGTAATCAAAATATAAGCTGTTAAATAATCAGAACAACACACATATATACATGTCTTATCAGTTATATAAAAGTAAATAAAATAAAATTATATTATTATTTATTTATAATGTATATAATATTTATTTATATGTATATATTTATTATTTTATTCATAATAACTTTAAATTGATAGATGTATTGCACATACACGCCAGAAATGTCGTCTGACTACATATTAATTATTAACATTGAAACTTGCAAATTGCAAGTAATAAAAACAATTACATAATTTTATTCGCTACGGTATTTTATATGTCCAATACTGTATTAGATGAATTAAATGAACAAAGCGCATTGTCGAGACCCACACATTCCAAACGTTACTGTTCCATACCGGTGTAAACTATAGATTAAGATAAATAAGCGCGGGCCAGACATGTTTTGATCTGGTTTCAGTTGCTAGAGCATTTCTAGATTTTACTTGGAACTGATTTACATCATTACCTAAAATTTACTATTTATACGAATGATTATTTTATCGAATTTAAATATTAGGTAGTCGTAGTCCGCCTATTGGCGGAATTTCGGCCTTCATAACAAGTTTACTTTGGCGTTATTGAAAATAAAAAAAGGTGTTATATTTAATTTTCATGAAGGCATTTATTTAAGAGCTGTGTAGACGAAGCTATTAAAAAAGTACAGTTTTTTGTCGCTTAGGTACTTAGTGTGTGATACAAAAACAATTCCACAGTGACTTGACATTTACACGAGGCGTATATAATGTCTCTTTAAAAAAGTTTGATTGACTTTAGTCATGGCCTTCGTGTAAAAACGTCGCGAAGACATTCTAGAATGTTAAACAATGAATTAGGTCTGGCTAACTACAATTGTTGATAAAAAATGATATATATTAGCTATCCATATCTACAGAAATGCAATAAGGTAATAAAATATGTTATACAATAATGGTTACAGATTAAATACCGCCAGTAATTAAGCAAGCTGCACCTCGTTGTTACATTGCGCAGTACTACGAGAAAAAAAGTGCGTGTGTTGCAATACACATATGGTAGAAGTGAAACTTCAGAAAAGTAACCTACGAGAAAATGAGATAAATATCAGGAGTAGAATAATTATAAGGTTTATTTTTTTATAATATTTTTACTAAGTTTAAAAGTTATTTTTCGTTTTATTTGACATAAATATACATTACATATTATTCAGTAATTAATTTCATTTTTTTTCGCTTCCTGTGTAAGGTATTCTATCTCAAATAATTAAATAAGTCATATTAGGCATATTACAATCATAAAATTATACAATATCATATACGGAAAGTATATAATATTATATATTTTTCAGACAATAACAACGGTTACCATAGCAATATGGCAGAGTATTCTATCTCATTCTCTCATCGGCTCAATCTTATAATATATTTATGTGTTTGTCTCTTTTCAGCCGACTCCTTAAAAAAGGAGGAGGTTCTCAATTCGTCGGAATCTTTTTATGTATGTTCACCGATTACTCAAAGACCCCTGAACCGATTTGGAAAATTCTTTTTTTGTTTCAAAGGGTATATTACCAAGGTGGTCTCATTTAAATTTTATCGAAATCAACAATAAATGGTTCTTAAATAAATGGCTTAATCGAATATGTTAAAAACTTTCTTCTTACAAATTACCTGCTTATTACGTTTACACTAAAAATGGAAAAATAAAAACTTAATTAAAAAAACCGACTTCCAGGCACTAAATAGTAAAAAATTACTGAACGAGGGTTTTCATTTAGAAAAGATACCTAATCAGATATTTTTGCCTGAAAGTCGGTTTTTTTAAGTTTTTTTAGTGTCGCATTTCTATTTCATCGAATTTCAAATCACAATGATTCTAAATAAGTTTCTTTCAAAAATCTTATATGAATCGGTTGTCTATATAATAGTAAAAACAATTTACCCACGCTTCACTCTTGTACATCACTAGTTACTTAAGTACCTTAAGTAGTAGCTCCAGGTCATTTCAACTTCACCAAAATGTGTCTAGCAATTTCTGTGCCAAGGAGTAACCAACATACATATAAGTACAAATATTCGCTGCCATATTTTTTCTTTAAATTGTAGTCCCATTATTTATCATAGGTCAAGTACTCATAAATACTCATTTTATAAACTTACTTATCCTTTGTAACTTCCTTAACTATAACCGCAAGCTTTTAAATTATCTATAATACAATTGAAAAAGGAAGTATTTACTTCAAGGCACCTGCTACTTCCACTATATCCGCTAAGCTTACTTAGTAAAATTAAAAGAAACTTTTGGTGACCAATTTTATATGGAAAGGCATACAATTCTATAATACATATAGTATATTAAAATTAGACATAAAGATATTGTAAATTAAAAGCTCAAAAAATGTAAATTAAACTTAAATATCAACGTATTTATAACGATTACGTTATTTAACATTAGAGGTAGAACTTTTCTAGATATTTATTCGGGACTATTCTTGTATAACTTGTTAATTAAAAGGACGAACGAAGGACAACATCGATTTGCAATTGCCCGAGATATCGCACAAAATTAGCGGTTCCAAAATGTTTGTATAGGTCTAATTGAATAAAGATTAATCTCATATATATTACATCGCATACACAGTATGGAATTAAATACCTCTTATTTTCTAGTTGGACAAAAACAATTAATACGCCTTCAGTTTTGTTTATTTACATTTAATTGTTCTATTTTGCACGGCAAATAAATAACAATCATAATTCAGGCATTAATGTTACAATACAATTCAAATGATCCAGATACCGGCAGTGATCATAGTTATAACGTTTATGGCTGAAGGCCGTTTGCTGCAAAAAATCATGCATTAACATAAAAATATCTTAGCACCTTAATAAATTGTAAATTGATAAGATAATAATGTCAAACCATATAAGTATTACTGTAATTTTCTGTATTTACAACTTATCATTTCATTTCGAAATATGGCTTTTTAAGATAAAAAGGTGTTTATTAATTACTGACAATTTAATTCAATTTTTAACTAAACTTGAAACTTAATAAAATTTCACGAATCGAACTTTAAAAGTTTTTACTTTACATACTTGGATTTTATAATAGCTATATTACAAATATCTAAATGATTCCTAACAAATGAATATAGATAAAAAATCAAGTTTTTATATAACATTTCTGTCAAGGTATGGAGGGACCTTTAGTTTGTCACGTAAGAGTTATAGCGGAATTAAGTATAAATCAATATGCCAACTTAATGCTAGTTACATTGTTCCTTAAACTTAATTCCTGAAAGCAGTATCACATTTCAATGTTATGACAGTAAGTACTTAGATTCGATGCGTTTCTGGGTCACGAAAACAAAGATTACTGTCCTCTGCAACAACTTCATACTTTATTAATAAAGTGGTGTGTAACAATGAAATTGTGTTATTACGCTGTACGTTCCTCATATGTGCAATTTAACAGCCAAGACGTTAACGAGTCACTTGACACAGACTAAACATGACAGTAAAATTATTTATGCAATTACACCGTCAAAACTGAAGGCTTATTATCGTAATTCGTCATTGTTAATTATTATAAAAATCGCTTTGAAGTCGTTAAGAAAATTTATTTGAAAAAATTGCTAACGTTAGCTGTAATATTTATATACCTTTGGCAAATAAAGCCAAATTGGAAATATAATTAATATGGCTCTAGTTTTATACTCTGAGACTTAAAACTTTGAAATGAAACGATGCTATAGAAAATTTTAACTGTACCACCTACATCATTTGTAACTATATACTGGGTACATTATGACGGTTGGTATGGAATAGATAGACTAATAACTATATATACATAGGTATGATGAGTTTTATATCCCTTACTTGAGAAATGATTGATTTCCCATACAAATTTCTACCCCCCTTCTCACCCCTTTAAGGGATTATTTCCGGAATAAAAACTAAATTATGTCCTTCCCAGGGTCTCAAACTATCTCCATACCAATTTTCATCTAAATCACTGCAGCCGTTTAGTCGTGTAAACAAACAAATAAACAAACAGACAGTCAATCAAACAAGCAAACAAACAAGCAGGGTTACTTTCGCATTTATAATATTATATTAGTATGGATAAACAGTGACTTTCTCTGCTGCCGCATCGGAACAATAAAGTTTACAGTCAACTGATTTAAACACTGTCCATGTCGCTTTACGGAAGAATTTAAAGAACTATTTCTTTTTAAACGTATACCTATACATTAAAAAAAACAGAGTTGGAAATTCTTAGAAAAAGATTATTATTATTTAAAATTAATACATTTTCTCAGTGGAAAATGGAAAAATGTGGAACTTCTGCACACAGTAATTACTGTATGGCTTTATGCGTGAGTCAGTAAGGCATCAATTAACATTCATTTCATTTTAAGCTCATTCATGTTAACACATAATAATTCAAGTGCATAAGCCATAATACACATTTAATTTTATTTAAGAGGTCAAAAAGTTCCGCAATAAAACTTTTTATCCGACTTCCAAAAAGGAGGAGGTTCTCAATTCGTCGGAATCTTTTTTTTATGTATGTTCACTGATTACTCGAAGACGCCTAAACCGATTTCTAAAATGTTTTTTTTTTGTTTGAAAGGGTATACTTCCCAGGTGGACCCATATAAATTTTATCGAAATCGGTCGAGCGGTTTTTCTTAAAAATCAACTATTTTTTTTTTTAAATAAACTACTTATTGGAATATGTTATTAAAAAAATTTCTGCTTACAAATTACCTGCTTGTTACGCCTACACTAAAAATGGAAAAAAAAATTAAAAAAAAAACTACTTCCAGGCTCTAAAATGTAAAAAATAACTAAACGGAGGTTTTCATTTAGAATAGATACCTAATCAGATATTTTCGAAGTCCGTGCCAGCCTGTATACAATAAGATATAGCCAGCCTGTATATAATTTAAGATAATATGAATATCTAATAGGTAAATACCTATGTATTTTACGTATCGACATATATTAGATTTGCTTTGCATCGGCTGGCACCGACTTCGAAAATATCGGATTAGGTATCTATTCTAAATGATAACCCACCCTCCTTTAGGTATTTTTTACGTTTTAGTGCCTGGAAGTCGGTTTTTATATTTTTTTTAAAGTTTTCATTAAAATATAGTTTGACGACACCTTTTGCTATTTTGAATCAACCCATGTATCTCAAGTATACGTATATACTAAATCTAAATTGTATAAAAGTTATCATAACAATATTGACGTAACGATATTCGTTTTCTTTTTAATTTGTTAAGAATCGAAAAAAAATAGATAACAACAATAAAAATCACAGCAAAATTTTTATAACAACTCAAATAAAATTTAATATATACATACCTATTTAATCAACTTTATATACTACATATAGACAACATAGTATTAGTATTAAAGCAGAAAACAAGAATTTTTAGAGTATTCCCAAAAAGAGGATAATTTAGTATTTCGCTGTGCTAGTATTGTTTTAAAACATAAAGACATCAAATTAAATGCAACTATACCTTCGAGACATCTAACACCTCAGTCTCTCCCGTGACCATGATGGCTATAAAGCATTCGAAACGTCGGGAACGAGAACCAAAAATCAAAATAAATCCGCGAAATAATCCGAAAAGATCGTTTTATTTAAAATGTCCAAATATTCGCGTAAATCTAAGAAAGTATTATTTAAAGAACAATTAGTATTATATTATTATTTTTTGTTTTGACCTTACTTGTATTCAAAGTTCAAACACAACATCATTTATATGTGACGTGATGTCGTGTATATAATATAAAACTATTTTATGTTACTTTAAGCACAATTATGACAAATATTAACGTTTAAAAAAAATCGCAACTGTACCTCGTAACGCGAGTCGTAAAGCGTGGAAGAGGACATTGTACCTACATAAATTTTACGACGCGCAAAACATATACGATAAGAAATTAATATATAATAATAATAGTAATAATACAGAATCTATACTAGACACTTCAATTAATCATGGTTTTGCGTTTACCTCATACCTATGTTAGAAAAATAATATAATACATATTTTATGTTACTAAAAGGTAATTTTAAATTTATTTTCTCTCAAACATTATCTATGCACAAGCGTACAGCTATTGTTCTCTATAAACGTATTGCTATGCAGCGCTGATACACATTCAAGACAATTTGTCCTTTCTATTGTAATATTTCTTTTAGATCAAGGGAAGGTTTAATAGACCCGTTTAATTCTCAAAAATGGGGTTAAATTGAATCTACGTTAATCCCTTACGAATCTATGCTAATATTATAAAGAGGCTGAGTTTATTTGTTTGTTTGTTCGAACACGCTAATCTCAGGAACTACTACTCCGATTTGAAAAATATTTTTGCATTGGATAGCCTGTTTATTGAGGAAGGCTATAGGCTATATATCATATTATGTGTAGTCTATTTATTCAATACTAACCGATAAAACGTACCTAGGGACGAACCCGAGCGAAGCGAAGGGTGAGTCGCTAGTAATAAATATATTTCAAATATTTTTCTACTTCGCTGATTATATTATTAATTGTTCCTCGACTATTTTTACATTCATCCTTAAAAAAAGGTTATAGCGAAATCAATAGAGGTTTTATTGCATTAAACTAATATAGCTACGAAATATATACGGATGAAGCCGTAGACATCTGAAAACTTTCTGCGGAACGTTCATAGATAATATATCAACATGCTCCATAACTTTTGTTCTTGAGAATAAAATAAACTTAATAATTCATAATTATATACAGTCTTATCAGTTAACAATGTATTATTTCCATATATTAATGTAATGCATACAAATTACGCAATTAAAATTATTAAAATAGTTTACTTAGATGTCTAGAGCATATTTTTATGTGGAAATAAACGCTTAATCTGCCAGAACTTAAATTATTACCAATTTATTTTTAATTATATACATTAACAAAAAAAATTGGCTATGATATATATTTTATAATTTTTCAATTTGTAGGCACATTATTTCTTTACCACTGTTGAGGGGGAAGCACGTTTGATAAACCATATAGCATCTTTATTCGTCTGTATCTGATTAAAGAAAAGAAAGAAAAAACTATTTTACTTATATATAATTATTTTCCTATCCTGGAACGATACATAAATGAGAATTTTAGAAGCCCTTATCTTATATATATTATCATTATATGTATATATAATATAAGGTACCTATAACAAAGACGATTAGTATTCAATATTTTGTTACAGTGCTATTAAAATAATTATAAAGTCATCGGAAAAACTGTAGTTTAATTACTGTTTATATAATTAAATTATAAGTATATAATATGTTGAATACTGACCTTAAACGCACAGAATAATTTAAACATTCAAAAAGTAAACATTACAGACCTACATAAGTATATTCGAATAAATATTTATATAAAAGAAAAAAAACTTGAAACAAAACATGCATTCCAATAATAATATTTGAACAATTTTGTTTTTATTTAATTTTGTTTGTTACTAACATATTTTTTAAGAATTGATAAAGCTTAAAAACTTATTGATTTTAATGATTAATTAAAATATATAACAAAGAAAAAAAGATGGTTCTATCAAAATAAATATGATATTGAATTGAAGTAAAGTGCATATATTTTACATACTAGGTACCTACTTATATTGATGTGTATATTTTTTTTTTAAGTTTATTATGTGTCCCGACATACTTTAGATCATACATATTTTTTTCTTTTAAAGCACTTTCTCTCTTTCCCAAACTATTTTCCGGGTCACTTTCCGTACGATAAGTTTTTCTAAAAAAATTTTTAAACAAATTAGGAAAATCTATCCTGACAGTCTCAAAGAGTGCGCTTGGCAACGAACAGCATTTCATTTTTATTTATCTACACAAATATTATGAAGAAGTAAAATTTGAGAATTTATAGCTTGTGGGATATTCTCTGAAGATCCGATTCGAATATTTTTCTAATAGAAAAATATATTATCGCTAAGTGTATATATAGGCTATTCTTTATTCAGACGAAAATGTGTATACAGAAGTTTTCAAAAATTATAAAAGCATTAAATGAGTCGAAATAAAGCTTAAGGTTGAGATACTTTATCAGCGAGAATAAACCGTATAAATAAAAATAGTGTTCTTAAATTATTTACTAGCCAAGAGAAAATCGTATCTAACCAAGTCCAGTCCAGTTAGCAAGTATCATATACAAATATCGGTCAAAGATAATATATCATTGAAAATTGACCACACTTCTGTTAAACAACAATGTACTCGTATTTAACTCGATAAATGGAACATAACCGCTTAACCGCAATTATTAGCGTCCCTTTATAAGCTTATATTTAATTTAAGTTTCGTGAACGATTCTTATTTAATTGATCGCTTCATGACCTCGAATAATTAATCACTGGACATTTTAATTGCGTGCAATGAAAAACGCTAACTACATAAGCACTGTATTTAAAACCGATTTAATAGAATATTAGGTCGTAACGTTTACAAAGGCATATCTCGTGAAGCATTCATTGTATTGTTATTGACAGTGATAATGAATACTTTAGAAATAATCTAATCTTCTATGAGATTTACTTCGGTAATCTATACATGCATATAATAAAATAGTAACTAACGACATCTGTAGGTATATGAAATGTTTTTAATAACAATGACTGTTACGTATTGTGTACAGAATGTAGACTCCAAAACAATAGTTATTGTTTTTGTCTGTTTGTTTGTATATCTGTATGCATTTTACTAATAGCGTAACTTTCTGATTGCTGATAATTTAAAACGTGTCCCACACTAATGATATGATATCACTTATATAAAATTATAGATAGATAGTAGATACTAGATGTACTTTATTGTATACCACAAAAGAAATACACAAAAGAAGAAATAAACAAATATATAATGAACAGGAGGCGGACATATCGCTATAAGCGATCTCTACCAGGCAACCTTAGGGCGTAGGAATAATTATATGAAATGGTAGGCAGTGCGCTTACTGCACTATACACAAATATATATCCTAAATATTAATTTATCATTCATCGTTAACAGACGAATAGCCCGAGAGATGGGCGCAGGTGCTGTACGGATGGACACTACATCTGCATTTTCTGCCCTCGCCGCAGAAAGATTGAACTACAAGAAAGTATATGGACTGTTTTATTCGGACGTGCCCTACGCGCCTCACCCAGATCCCCCCCACCTTGAAGCTAGAGTCTATTTGAAGAACTGGTAAGGTAAGTGTAGAGTTAATTAAAATGTTATTTTGTAAGAGAGAAACGTGAATTTTAGTTTTTCTTGGTTGCTATGTAAATAGAGTTTGAAGGATCTTCGGTTTTGTACGAGTATTACAATCATAGTAGGGGAGCCCAAGAGGGGATTTTCTGTAGTTACTCGAGCGCGGCAGATTAACATAAAAGAGGTTACCTTGCACTCTATTGAGTACTTTCACCACAATATAAGTCTTCTATATAAAGGGGCGCGTCTAGGGAAGCCGATTAAAATATTTTAAAAATGTTTTGATAAGGTAGAAATACTTGAAACCGTCAGATTAAGGTGTGGTAGGCTAGTCACATCCTGAAAAGTGTCCAATTCAATAATCTGCCGATTTGCACAAGCCGAAGAGGCATAAATCGACTATAAAGTTTATGATGATTTTTTTGATTCTATTTCTTTTGATTTTTGGTTCCCGACGTGTCGAATGCTTTACAGCAATCATGGTCACAGGAGAGACTAAGGTTTTAGACGTCTCAAAGGTCATTATATACTTGTTACTGACAGCATCTGGGTATTTTTAAAAATCTTGTATAAAGAAAAGACATTTTCCTCCGCCCGTGTTCAGATGACCAAAAACCAAATTCTTAGGTTTTACATATTAGTATACTCTTACATTGCAGTTTTTGTATTTTTTCTCAGAAATGAGATATTTTCCCGCGATAAAAAGTATCCTATATGTTGACCCGGATAACCAGCTATTATCATACAAAAACTGCAATGGAAGAGTATACTAATATATAAAACATAAGAATTTGGTTTTTGATCATCTGAACGCGGGCGGAGCCGCAGACAATGCTAGTATATAATATATATACAAATTTTTAGCATACTATATATTTACAAGACACTATAGAATGTAATATTAATTTTCAAAATAATGTTTATACATATTATTACAAGTTTTTTTTATTTACAGGTACGTTCTTCATTAACGTTCTGCACAATATTTAGAGAACACGGTTGGGTTTGCATTATAATAAACTACACTATATCCATTTATGTATATTATTCGAGATTTTATTAGCATCTCGAATAAATACCTTTTATAATCGTAGTCATTTCCTAAGATATTTTTGTAAAATATCCTATAAATTGAAGTTGACTATATTTAATCATAGAGTAACAATTTGTAGAAGTTTGGAACAAATTGGTAGTATATTATGAAAAATCTGACAAAACTGTGATAGCAACAAAGATTTTAATTTACCAAAAGTATTTTTAAATGGTTTATGACAAGATTGTAAAAACAGCTTTGTATTTTGTATAACCCAGTTATTTTAAATTAATGTGATATTGCAAAATTTTGGAAGTATTTTGTTTTTTTTTGTATTTTCTATGAGTTTGATAGAAATCCGTTCAGCCTTTTTAAAATTTTCCGATATAGGCAGTTACTTTTAAAACATCAAATATTGTGTGTCGAATTCAGAAAGTTCTTGGAGTAAAATAAAATAAGTGCGAAAACTCCTGCAACAAAATATAAGCAAGCACACAACAATCCTGTACGAAATGAATAGCAAAAGTGCTATATCAACGTTTGTATTTAAATTTATATTAGTTATATACAGTTCCTTTTGTTCTCATTATTTGTTGTCATTGTCGATGTTATTGTTATAATTACATACGTGTCGTCAATTGGCTTGAAATTGTAATGTGATCAATTAAAGTGAGGTTTTAGTTGTTCTATTAAAATAAATTATATTATAAATGTATGGTGTGTTCTTATTTCATTCCATTTCCATTGTATAAGTATTTAGAATATAGTATTACACTCCTTTAATTAATTTCAAAATCGAAATCGCAAGATTGATTTCTTGACCCTACTTGTTGTGCCAGCGTTACCGGGTTCGAGTCCCGCTGGGATTCATTTATGTGATGAGCACGGATGTTTGTACTCCAGTCATGGGTATTTATATTTATAATATGTATGTATTTAAAGTTATAGTGTATCAACTATCTGGTATTCATAACACAAGCGTCGTAGCTTATCATGGAATTAGACGGTGCTGTCTGTTAATTTCCCAACATATTTATTTATCTAAGTAACTAGGTGTCCTATTCATATTTATGATTATTTCTCGTAATTACAAATAAACTATAAACAATTTTATTTATTTATATAGCAGGTTATCTTTAAAGAAAGAATCTACACTTGAAATAGCGTGTAAACGATCAGGTCAGATCATCCGTCCATGATCGTGCATCATTGATAATAAGATATCATCATAAGAAACAAATTCTATAGATTTATTTAATGGGTAATTGGATAATTGCTCTACATCAATAGATATAATTCCTTTTTTTAACGTTGGGAAATGCATTTAGGCACGAAGTGTGGGAGCAAACTGAGCAATAATAATTTGTGTTACTATGAAATGTCGACCTTTAGGGGGTTTTAAAAGTCTATGTGAATTGAGGTATTGTGAAAAGAATTGTGAAAATCGATTCAGAATAAGTGAATAAATTACACCCAAAAGAAGTACATCCTTTTTGTTAAAGGTGGTCAGAAAATACACTTTATTTATACACAGTAATACTTCTTGGTTTTATTCATTTACTTAAGAATTGTGTTACTTTCTATTTTTTAAAGGCAATAAATGTTTTTGATGTGGAACATCTATTGGCGCGCCATGGCAGTAAAACTGACTCGTGGTGTGACGGCAAACGGTGACGTATCATGCCATCATGCCCCTTCTACGCCATCGCTCTCGACTCTCTTGTGTTTGTGCACGCCATAAAACAGTCTCTATTAAAAATACTTACATATTTTCTATTCTATTTATGAATATAATGTAATTATTATTATTATAATAAAAAAAATGATTTTACTAACAAAACTCTATTTTTTTCTTTATTTCACTCCATATTTTGTTATAGGTTTTTATTAATCATGAATTCTAATATTAATATAGATGTTTCACATCTGCCGGGCGTCCCGTGACGGCCAACTTCTTTTTTAATTTCTTTTTCCCAGTCTCGGATTTTGATAGGGTTTTCATTATCATTCAGTGAATGTCTTCAGTAAGGCTTATATGTACATTTTTAATTTTACTTTATATATACGAGTAGAAAATGTAGCCGATAGTTCATAATCAAGTCGTCTCATTCTTGCCAATTAAATTATTTTAATAACTCTATTTATGACGTCAACGCCTTACTACCATACCATATAATACTATATCATAAATTTGCAGTTTCGTATTTGTAAAGAATAACAAAATGAGATAATGCCAGCGCGATGACGCGAATATTAACAGATTATAATAATTTAAGGAGGAGATCTTTTGAAGTAACTAATTTATTCATTATAAAATCTATATCTGCACAGATAAATAAAATTGAAGTGTCTGTTTGTAATGTCAAAATAACAGCGTTTTAAAATGCATATGAAATTATATACGGTACGTATAAGAAAAACACATTTTTTTACATTTTTAGTCTGTCTGTCTGTTTGTTCCGGATAGTCTCTGAAACGGCTGGACTTTTTTTGACGGGACTTTCACTGGAAGATAGATGAAATAGGTTACTTTTATTTTAGAAAAAGAATTAGGGTTACACTCAAAAAAAATTAAAACGTACCTAGGGACGAATCCGAGCGAGGTTGAGTCGCTAGTACATATAATACATATAATAAAATTCTAACTGAGTCGAATCTGCACATTAAATATTTGATACAGAAGCCGAATCTATAGTTATTAATTTTCAGGTCAACATGTAGGATACTTTTTACCGCGGGAAAATGTCTTGTTTCTGAGAAAAAATTCAAAAACTGCAATGTCAGAGTATACTAATATGTAAAACCTAAGAATTTGGTTTTTGGTCATCTGAACGCGGGCGGAGCCGCGGGCAATGCTAGTTCCATATAATAGTAAAACATAGATGTTATTGTAATATCTTTTTGTGTAGAGACATTTTTAAACGAATTTCAAAATAAAATGATATTTTAAATTATTATTAGATTTTACATTTATATTTTATATCGTTATTAGGAAATAAGAATAAGTAAAAATCACATATTGAGCATATAGATACAAAAATAAGTCGATAAATTCGATTTTTACTCAATATACTATATGAAACTATTACGGGAAAAAAACACCTTAAATGAATACGATAATATAAAAATTGACATCGTTAAATATTATCATCATGACCGATGGTATTGACCTTAACGTACACACAGAGTACTATTTTTATCATTCACCGTTAACACTCCAGTCAAAACACGTTGGCCGGGAAGGCCTCACAAACGTACAATTACATAGATAAATACGTGCAAAAGTGAATTAAAATATTTGTTTTACGCAAATTGGGAAGCACATTGTTATATAAAAAGTAAGTAAATATGTTCTCATCATAAGCGCTTGCGTAGTAAATTCAAGTCAGAAAAGAAATTCTTGTGTATTCGCATTTAAAACACGTCGCAGCCTTCAAATCAAGATTTTGTGAGTAAACAATCATATATTTGTTGATTTTTCTTTTTACTAATTTATAGTAGGTACATGTAGATACATAATTTCAAAAATATACATATATCCAAAGTATAATAATATTTCGCTAAATAATATTTCAATAATAATTTAAGAACATTTTCCTTGAGAAAATCAATTATGCGTAATGTGTTATCTATACAAATATAATAAAGAGGTAAAGTTTGTGATATTGTGAGTTTGCGACGTTGAAGGGGGTAATCTCTGGATCTACTGAACCGATTTAGATGAAAGGTAAGAAGATAGTTTGAGAGCCTGGGAAGAACATAGGATACTATTTATTCTGAAATCATCCCTTAAGGGGGTGAAAATGGGGATGAAATTGGGGATGAAATTTTGTATGGGGAATCAACCTAGAGACGAACCCGAGCGAAGTGAGGGTTAGTCGCTTGTATAATACATACGATACCTTATATATTTCTTATTCTTTACTGCACTTAAAAATAAACATATTAATTTAAATACAATTTTTGTTTGCAAAGATACACTCTACTTATGTAGAAATTAATCAATTCAACATTGCAACATATTACAATTATCATATAATTGATAACAAAAGACAGTATCTTTCTTATATTTATTTCTCTATTGAATCTTTCAATGATTTAGGCGGTGAACGGTACATCTTATATATCGTATAGTGTCTTGAAAGTTTTAGTACCTTCTTGCTAACATAAATATTTATATCGTTACCTATCTGTGTCATATGCAAAAGCCTGTTTTAGTGCGCTGGGAAAACGTACGTATCTTTTGCTTAGAGTGAGTTGATAAATAGATATTAATACTAAAATATATTTAAAATCAATATAAATAGATTATTATGTACATTACTTATACTTAAAACATCTCAAATCTCTCAATACAAGCAAGGGTACCAAATATTTTTTAAATTGCTTATTACATAATTATATACAATTTTTCTAATATATAATTTCTTGTTAATGTGATATACCCGAGTTTTCATTATTTTTTTTATATTTACCGCAACGATAAATTTATCAACACTTATTCATCGTAACTTTTTCAAAATAAGCTCCCTCCAATAAGTTTTATATGATTTTTTGCTTCTAGTAGGTATTCTTAAAAAATAACAACATAAGAAATTTTTAGTTTCGACGAAGTAAAAATATACGAAATCTTTATGTTACGGTAGTCATGTCGAAGCAGAAGACATACAAAATAAGTGCCATATGTGAACAAGACGTCGAAAATGTTATGAAACTTTTGAAAAGGTTGGTACCTAAATATCTAACAGAAATTCACAAAGTCAAAAATATAGACATAATTTTAGTACTTAGTATATTATTATATGGTCTGTGACTTAGGTTATAAGTGGCAATAACCATTTACATAGGTGTCAGTAAAAAATATATTATGACAATTGCGAGCGTTAATTAAAATGGACGTACGTGTTAAATAATAATAAGCCCAGTACTTACTCTATGTGTACTTAGTAGTAGTTTCATTAAAATGGTTGCATAATAAATTGGATGAGCTCTTCACACTCGTACCTTTATTAAACATATAAGCTAGGCGGCCTCGGTGGTGTAGTGGCTAGCATGTACGGCGGCACACTCGGAGGTCCTGGGTTCGAGTCCCGGGTCGGGCCAAGTTTAGTTATTGAGTTTTTCTGTATAGTAAGTCTCAGTAACAGCCCGGAGTTGGGAAGTTGGCGGTGTTTCACCCCCGTGCCTCGAAGAGCACGTAAAGCCGTCGGTCCTGCGCCTTAACTCTCACCGGTCGTGTCGAGCAGTCGTCCGGAGTATGAGAGTGACAGGAATAGAGAGTGCACTTGTGTCTGCGCGTACACTTGTGCACTATAATATCTAGTGCGCAGTTGGCTTGTCTCAATGAGATTGGCCGCCGTAGCCAGAATCGGTCGAAATCGGAGAACATCATAAGCTATGCTCAATCAACGAAATCGTTTACTGTGCGAAAAAAGTGCCCACAACGCGTTTTATCTAATTCAAAAAGGCCACAATACGTTATTCGTATCGTAGTGCTCATGATTTTTGACCACAACATATTCGCAGGAAATGCCTTAATGCGTTATAAACTTTTATGCATGCAACGAAAATACTAACCTAACGAGCATCATTTAAGACGTTCCTAGTCAGACCTGTCAGAGCTATAATTTAAAATCTATGAATCGAAGAATAGGTAACAATCTGAACGTGTTATGGCATTTTTATCTAACCACATTGAGTTTTGATCTAAAATGATGAAGCGTACAAATTTAATTTCGTGCCTTTTTGTCGCCTTTTTCGCACAATGAGCGTTTTCGGTCTTTCCGTCTAACATTCAACTCAATTTAATAAGATCTTAGATATTTATTTAGTACTAGCATTGCCCGCGGCTCCGCCCGCGTTCAGATGACCAAAAATCAAATTCTTAGGTTTTACATATTAGTATATCTTACAATACAGTTTTTGTATTTTTTCTCAGAAATGAGATATTTTTCCACGGTAAAAAGTATCCTATATGTTGACCCGGATAACCAGCTACGACCATACAAAATTTCATCAAAATCCGTCCAGTGATTTTTCTGTGATGCGGTAACAGACAGACAGACAAACAGACAGACAAAAATTCTAAAAACTATAGATTCGGCCTCTATATCGATAATAATGTCTATTACAATAAGATTTTCCAAAAAATATTTAATGTACAGATTTGGCTAAGTTACAATTTTATTATATGTATAGATAGTTTTTACTCCTGATTGCTTGAGCATGGCATGTAGATAAAATAGTTTCTAGTAGTAGTAGTCACCAGAAAGGAGAATAAAATAAAATGTTAATTGTTAAGCCTTTTAAAAAGAGTTTTTTGCGCTTCGACTCCATGGGGCAAGGGTTGTACTGCAAGGTTGGTCCTGGTACTTGTCTGAAAGCAAAGTATACTGTGGGAACAATCCCTTGTTGTGGTCTTCATCAGCAGGCCTGCCGTCGGAGCAGCGATCGTGCGACGCCCTTTTAAGATGAAGATGGCTCATTTCCTGACGTTAAAGAAAGGGTTCCTACTGCAAAAGTTATACACGAATAATTTGATTAACGTTGTAAATATTTCAGAACGTTCTATATAGACGAACCCTTAAACCGTACAGTAGGGCTGTGTACATCAGAGACAGATCCATGTCCAGAACTGGATGATTACTGCACAAGCTCTTTATTGGAAGACCTATCGTTCAAAGCTACGGATGATGCCGGCAATGTGGTTGCGGCTATCATTAACGGTGTATGTCCGTTGAAAGAAGTATGTACATTATGCTATTAAATATTTACGAATTATCTTCAAAATAATGTTAAAATTGTTATTGTTGTACCATTTTACAAAGAAAATACTAAAAATTGTTTTTTAAGCTTGAATGACCTCGAACATTGAATAACCTGCAAAGACTAACCGAGCCTAAATTACAATATTATGTTAAAATTTAACTTTTAGCCGACAATATTTAAGTATCGATTAATTCTTCTTTAATTATATCTTTTACTTTAATATATTTTCTGTATAATTAAAGTGACTCATAAACGTAACGTATCTTTTTATTTTACAGGATGAGAATGGCAATGATCTACTCAGCCAAGCTCAACGATGTCTAAGCCCCAAATTTCAAAAGATTCTATACATATTGGCTCGAAGGGAGAGCGGGGCACGGCTGTGGGAAAAGTTTCCTAACGATAAACAGGTTGTCGAAGTAAAAGTGGTAGGAACAGACCCGAATTGGAGGAGAAAAGGAATTATGAACGCGCTATTACAAGAATCTGAGTAAGTATAACCACAGTTAACTTAATATTAGTAGCAAAAGAAATGAGCTTTTCCATCATATAATTGTTTTAATATAAAGAAATAGAGACGTTCTTATTTCTTGGATCCTATTTAAAAATAATACGAAATATAATTGGATACAAAAAGAATTTTATTAGAACGCAAATGAGAAATTTAAATAATGAATTCAGTGGAGCGTGGAGCCTATCCACTGAACTCATTATAATCCTTTTTTTTAATAGATAAACTGTAGGTATTTAGTTTAAACTATCGTAAGTTATCGTAAAATATGTAGGTAATGTTCTTCGTTTTGGTTGAACAACGTTATTTATTGCATTGATAATATTTATGGGCGCTGTGTTGTTACCCATGAAATATTTACTATTATCGAATTGATGCTAAAAATTACAAAAAACCGCACGATGTACCTAAGAAGAACGAACGCAGGTTACATTTTCCCAAATACATGAATTAGTTCTTCGGGTTTGTTCGTTCTTCTTGAAATTCATAAAACCAACTTTGATACGACGGACTCTTAACTGTAGTATATTAGACTAGATCATTATTAATTGTATGTACTTCCAATAAGTGTTAGCCGTTAGGGCAATATAAGTTTACCTTAGATTAAAGAACCTTTAAACCGCTGTTTATTATTTTAAAGCATGATATTTAATGGCTATCGACATTACATTACACATCGCAAATTCAGTCAAAAGTGTAAAACTAACTAGTAATTGTACTACTTTTTAAATGGTAATAAATATATTATAAGCTAGTGTAAAACCATTTTATACATTATTCTATTATTTATCTACAAAATATATTTTATTACTTCGATAAAATGTATGATTTTTGGCTGTTAACCAAATATCTACACAATATCTATTTTGTGGTTTTAACAAAGCATTTTGTTTGATATGGACGACTTATGTTGACCGACTTAAAAATTGAGTGCTCTTTTTTATCATTTAATAAGTCTGTATTTTTTTTACTGTTTTAAACTAAGAATCTAGCGAAGACTCTCAACTTATTCCTTCTCTGCTTTTGGCGAAAAGATCAGTATAAATCGTTACCTAAGAATTACTATAGTTTTCTGTCATCTATGACTGATATCTAATAGTAACGAACGCACTATGTTATATCATATACCTTAAAATATACATGTTTTGTTTAATTAAATTAAATATATCTTCTAATATTGCATTTACAATATTGGGAATATTGCTCGTTTGATCTTCATTATAAAATCTCTAGCAGCAAAAACATAAGACTTTTACACTTTTATTTCACGACCTCCAAGTTTTATTTTTGCCACAAAAAGCCTATGTCCTTTTCCAAGGTCCCGTCTATCTCTATACTAAAATTCATCAAAATTGGTTCAGCGGTAATGTAATAACGTAACAGACAAGAGTTACTTTCATATTTATAATATTAGTAGTATGCATGTATGGAGCACACAAGTTTATGTTTCATACAAGTATACGAAATTAAATAAAACATGAGTAGATAAAACTTTTAAGATATTTTTTTTTGAATAAAATTAAGAGATTATGGTCCTTAAAATTAATGGTCTAAACACTACTTGCTAAACAGTTGTTTAGTATTTCGTTCTAGTATAATTAGCGTTACATTTTTGTTACAAGTACCTAATATTGTTAAGGAAATGACAGTTTAGACGACAAGCGAGTCTAATTAGATATTGGTAATATTATTTGCTTTATTTTGCTGGCATGTTTTCGTAACTTAGACATATGTATAGAATGCGCAGAGACAAACATATAAAAATTGTAAAACCTGATGTTCAGATTCTAAATTTTACTTGAGAATATCTACGAATAAATAATAAGTCAGGAAATGTAACTGCATTAAAAAAATTACCCAACAAAAGTCGTGTCCAAGTAGGCGGGGTTTAAAAGTCGTATCCAGCGCGTCATCACCATCAGTCAAACATTATTCTTGCAAGCGAGCACATGTCAAATTTTCGCGTACCTACGTTTAAATTTTTATCATTGTGAACTACAGCTGTGAATCATCATGACAGCATGTTTTGTGAAGTGCTGCAGGAGCCATACAAGATTAAAATGTCCAGGAATCACTTTTAACTAGTATTATTCAAATATACCTTTTTTTTTAACGTTGGGAAATGCATTTAGGCACGAAGTGTGGGACTCACCAGCAAAGCCAGTACTACCCACTAAAACCCAACAAAACCTTCCCCCGTCTTAATGGTCCGTCGCAGGATCGCTTACGCATTCAACTACGACGCCTCAATGTCAGGTCTGCCGAAGCAGACCGCAACAACCACGGGGTTGTTCCAAGGTCCACTCTGCTATCAGAGAAGTACCAGGAGCAACCCGCATGGTACACCGCCCTCCGCATAGGGCCACCCCCCACCGCCCACCGAAGCGGACCACCTCCGTGCGTTTCTTGGCTTCGCGCCCGGCTGTATTGCCGGGCACTACTGAGCCTCCCCCACCATGACAAGGTGAACGCACGTTGGGGGGGATTCAAATATACCTACTTAAATTATTAATTAACTTTTCCCGCGGGTCCGCTCGCTTAGTCTATTCATGTATAACTGTTTCGATTCTAATTAGCGTGATGTTACATAGCTTATACTATTCCTCAAGAATTGGGCTATCAATTAATGCATTTTTTTTACATCCGAGTTCCAGAGAGCTCGTTCAAACAAACGAACTCTTGCGCTTTATTATATATTAGTAAATAGTAGGTATAGATTAACTTTAACAAAAAATAAATTATTTCAGGAAGGCGATCAAAGATAAAGGTATCAGACTAATCAGGATAGATACATCTAGTGCCTACTCAGCGATGTCCGCTGAGAGGTTCGGATATACGTGCTTTTACAAAGCTCTGTACAAGGATATAAAATTGGATGGACAACCCCTCATAGTACCGGAGCCACCGCACGTTGATGATAGAGTTTATATTAAGGAACTTTACCCTCTATAAACTTATATTATACCATTGAATTGTTAATTAATGCATAAATAAATTACTTTTATGGCCTTTTTCAATCACCTAAGAAGTTATATTTAAAAAACCTAGAGCTGAATTAAGAACCTAGTTTTTAAGAACGGGTAATAAATACTAAACGAGATTTTTACTTGGTTTTGGATATGACTGAATAAAAAAAATCATTAAAAAATCTCAATATTGAACACGATTAATAAGATATAATGTTCTTTATTATTTCATATAGTTTCACACTGCTTATAGGCACGTTATATGTACAATCTTCATCTAATATATTTGTGTGAAGGTTTTCTGAGTAATCTCTGAAACAGTACAAAACAACTTTAAATAAGAATATTCTAATTAATTCATATACGTAAGTTGTATTAAAACACAATATTTATTATATATTAATACTATTGGTTTATGAATTCAAGCAGTCCCTTGAAGGAACCCAATCTCTTCATAAACAAAGTAATCATTCAATCTAACGTCAATAGATGGCGCTATATGTAGAAAAAAAGTTAATCCCATAAAGTATAATTTTTAGTCAATGCTCTAAATTCTAAAGGGAAATAAACTAATGCGTTCTTAAATACAATTTCTATAATTTAACTGTAGAATGTCGATTAACCAGTCATTAGTTTGTTTGTGTTGCGTATTGATAGATAACATTTTTTAAGTTAGTGAGAGATCATATTTTTTGCTTACACACCGCGATTAAATTCACCCCAATTCGCTATATTAAATGTAGAAATGATTTATTCTACACAATTTCAAAATTTTTCTACAAATTTACAAAACAAAGTACTTTGTTAGTTTGAGAATTAATGCAATCATCTTTAGCGAACAAAAAGGGCCCCCAAGGGGGGCTATGTTTCTTTGGCAAGATAAGAAGAGATTCATTATTTCTTCATTGTTTGTATTTTTTCATTGGTACCACAGATCATATAATACTATATAGGTGGTAGTAAAGACCCTCCATCTCATTTTAATTTCATTCACGCTAGCGCTGCAGATATCGTTATTATCGGGTGGCCTGAGTTAGATTAGTTACTACTGAGAGCACTAAAGTTTTTTTTTAAATGTGTACATTTGTAAAGTATAAACAAACTAAAAGAACAAATGCAAAAAAAACCATTCGAAATTAAACTACGCTTATTTAAGAATCAGATTCTATTTTTCTTTTATTATTATCTTATCTACATACTTAAGAATCTCTCTTTTTGTGTATGTACACAGATCATATAATTGTTGATGCTAAAAATTACAAAAAACCGCACGATGTACCTAAGAAGAACGAACGCAGGTTACATTTTCCCAAATACATGAATTAGTTCTTCGGGTAGATATCAATATGAAATCGATGTACATAACGCCATCTATTGAAATTTGTTTGAACTATATTTTCGTGATGGTATCGTTCGTACCAACAGGTACTACGGCAGAAAACTTGCTGGAATAAAAGATTTCTACCAAAAAATAAAAAAAAAGTATAAACTTATAATTAGTTGTTACTTATTAGCTTAAAAATGATTTTTAAGGCTCCTGTAAGATATCATGAAAAATTACATAAAATTTCTAATATAATATACCTTAATGGATAATGAAACAAATCAGCTACATTCATTAATAATTTAATTCATGTTATTTCTGTAATCTATACACTACTTACATACTCGTACATTTATAAATATTTACAAAAATAGTTGTGGTATGTAATAAAATATATCTACTCTCAAAAGACATTTACAATATCTACATAATATACATTAATGTTTTGAAATTAAACGAGTGAACAAACAAAAAAACATATTTCCAATGTCATATTCCATAATTTTTATTTTTTACCACCAGTCCACTTTTGCTTGCACTGATCCTTTTGTGAAATTATATTTTCTATTCCTGCAATGGATATTACTAAGTTCGTATAAGATATTGGAGGAACCGTGCATGGCGGAAATACTGTGATTCCATAGAATCGTTTATACAGGCTAACAGAATCCGGAAAATCCTCACCGGACAATCACAACGAGAACTGGGTTCACTAAGGAAACCAGATAACACTTATACCAAATCATTAGAAGAATCACACCAAGTGCTTCTGCAGACGCATTTTCCCGACTGCTCAATGGTTAATGAACACAAGTGGATAGACGTAAACCACAATGCAACAGACACCTCCTGGCAAGTTGCGTCAGAGGTCATAAACACCAAGAAAATAGCGTGGGCCATCAAAAGCTTCCAACCATTCAAGGCGCCGGGTCTAGATGGAATCTACCCTGCCTTTATACAATGGGGAGGCCCGAGACTGCACCACACACTTAACAAAATATACCAGGCATGTTTGGCGTATGGCTACGTGCCTAAAACCTGGAGAGAAGTTAAAGTAATCTTCATACCGAAACCAGGTAGAACAGATTACTCGGATGCAAAATCCTACAGACCAATCAGTCTCACATCTTTCTTACTTAAGACTATGGAAAGATTATGTGATAGACACCTGAGAGATAACGCTTTAGCTAAAACACCCTTACACAGGAATCAACATGCCTATAGTTCAGGCAAATCAACGGAATCAGCGCTTCATGCAGTAGTATACAAAATAGAAGAGGCACTAGATACCAAAGACATTTGTCTAGGCACCTTCATTGACATTGAAGGTGCTTTTGACAAAACCAACTTCACTAGTATCAAAGCCGCACTCAGTAGACATAAGGTAAATCCAGTAATAACTGACTGGATCCAATACATGCTAGCGAATAGAGTGGTCAGGCTAGGTAACAGCAACAAACAAGGTGCCATCGTGGCCAAAGGATGTCCTCAAGGAGGAGTACTCTTACCCCTCTTATGGAACCTAGTAGTCAACGACCTAATAACCCTGCTCAACAACAACAGATATTATACGATAGGCTATACAGATGACCTAGCCATCCTCGTAACGGGCAAATTCACAAGTACAGTCTGTGAATTAACTCAGACAGCCCTAAATATAGTCGAAAAATGGTGTTATGACTATAATCTGAGTGTTAACCCACGCAAAACAGAACTAATAATGTTCACAAACAAAAGAGCTCTAGGAAGCTACACCCTGCCGAAACTCTTTAACTCCACCTTAACATTAACCACAGAGGTAAAATACCTTGGAATTACCTTAGATAGCAAACTAAATTGGTCTAAACACCTAGACAATTTACTAAACAAAGCCAGTATCACCTTCTGGCAATGCCGAAGGATGATAGGTAAAAAATGGGGCCTTAATCCCGAAATAACTCTATGGCTATATACATCGGTAATACGACCTATGATCAGCTATGGTGCCTTAGTGTGGTGGCGTAGAACACTTTTGACCACAGCACAAACCAAGCTACAAAGCTGGCAAAGGCTGGTGTGCATGGCAGTGACGGGCTGCATGAGAACAACACCAACCGCAGCTCTCGAAGCCATGCTAAACCTTTTACCGCTTCACTTGTTTATACAACAAGAGGCTGCGTCTACCGCGATAAGACTAGATGGTCAAAAACTGCTAAGGAAAACAGGCACTCCACATACAAAAATCCTAATGGACGTAGCCAAAGACATTCCTCTTATGGGAGCACCCAATGACGGAATACAAATAAAATACATTTTTGACAAAAAATATAAAATACAGCTGGAGGAAGATACATATGAAGGTCGCGACAGTAAGGACCTAAGAATCTACACCGACGGCTCGAAAACCAAATCGGGGACTGGCTGTGGCATTTTCTCCGATGATCTAAACATTAAAACCTCAATACCTCTAGGTACCTACAACACGGTGTTTCAAGCTGAAAGTCTAGGTATCCTTGAGGCAGCCAGAACAATTGCAACAAAGAAGGTGGAAGACTGCTCCATCCGCATATTATCAGACAGCATGTCAGCACTACAGGCATTAAATAGTAATTCTACCACATCAGGTATGATCTATGAATGTCATAAGGCCTTGACACAGGTAAGTGACCGGAATGAGATCACCTTACAATGGATCAAAGGCCACAGTAACTCGTGGGGGAACGATAAGGCAGATGAGCTAGCAAGAAGGGGTTCGGACATGACGGCGATAGGACCAGAGCCCATCGTCTCGTTACCTTCTTGCTGGCTCAAAGGCCAAATCCGACAACGAACTAAACGCCAACACAACAATGTATGGCGTGAAGTTGTAGACTGTAGACAGGCGAAAGAATCGCTTCCAAACATTGATGCCAAAATATCGAACCATATCATCAAACTTAACAGACCTCAACTCAGGCAAATAACCGCAGCCTTAACCGGCCACGGACCATATAATAAACATCTATTTAATATAGGTATAACTGACAGTCCACTTTGCAGGGCGTGCATGGGGGCAGATGAAACGGCTGCACATGTGATCTTGTATTGTCCAGGTGTAGCGACGTACCGGGCTCAACATCTTGGCACTCCTGGGTCACTCCCGGAAATTTTCGGCAAGACGAAGAGGTTGCTGAAGTTCCTGGAGGAACTGGGGTGGCAAGAGTAACAAGAAGTTAATTTCCCACACACGCAAAATAGGCGCATAGTCGTCGAGTTGCGGAAAACAGCCCGAACATACCATACCATACCATACCATACTAAGTTCGTGAAATTAAACGATTTTTTTCAGAGCAGTGAACCAAAATTAATGGAACTGGATAAAAAAGTGAGAATGACCTTTAAAGAAATATTGTATTCTTTTCTTAAAAGAGATTACGTCAATCAAACAGACTTTGCAAAAATTGACCCAGAAAGTTCCAATCATCAAATTCCTACATAATATTTCGGATTAAAGGTGTTAAATCAGATTAATAAGCCTGATATTGCAAATAGACTAGACTAAGTACTAGAGTTCCACACAAGAGCGCAAAATTTCCTAATAACTGGCAGCAAAGAAATACAGAAAAGGTATGACTATTCTGATACCTTATTACAATATCTCAGAACTGAAGAAGCAAATAAAAGAACAAACGCGGGAAACATTGCCTGCATGAATGAATTGATAATAATCAGCAAAGATGAGGATAATCCACAGAAAATTGACGACGAATGGCGAATATTTCCGACTGTGATCAAATAATTGAATTTGGATGTATCACAGATGAATGTTGACAGCTTTAGGTCTGCAGTACAGAATCAGCTTAGTTGTGAATGTGAAAATCTAGCAACATTTGCGTCAAACATTTTGTCCCTACCCCATGCTAACGCAGATTGCGAAAGTTTTAGTAGTGAAAATGCAATCAAGTTTAATTCCAGAAATAAAATAATTACTTCGACCATCAACAACACATTATACAAATATATCCAGGCCCAAGGAAATTGTAGTAATTTGAAACCAACCAAACAAATGTTAGATAACATGAAAGAGAGCTCAAAATACGATTTGAAGAAAGAAGAAGTAGAATAAATGAGTATGATGATTTCGACAAAAGTTAAGTTCTAATAAAGTTTATTAATCTGATATATTTTTATGACTTTTTTACGAAACCCTGTTTTTTAATTACTATAACTATAGAAACAATATGTAATTAGGTACGAAAGTATATATTTTTATTAAATATGTATGAGACACGCCAATTTTTTAACTTTTACCCCAAAACACGGCAATCTGACATCGGAAACACGACAACCATTTTTTTTAATGGCAAGCCTGGCCCGCGCTGGCAGTGTTTTGTTTTCATTTTGAGTGACGGACGCTAATACCACGTGCGCTAAATACGTTTCTTTGTCTACGATACGAGTTTAGGCACATTTGCGAGTTATTGTTTACAATGGAACCGAAAAGAGAAAGGTTGAAGTCGAAAATAGACAGTTTTTGCCAGAATCGACCGATTTATAGTTTTATGCTGCCAAATCGTTCTAGAGCAGTATCAATGTGCACAAATGGTCAACAAATAGTGGCGTTAATTAAAAGCTCGAATGTCGTTTTAACATTATGAGACCAAACAAAAATCATTTGCCGAAAAATTCCCAATTGGTAACCTAAGTAAATCTAAAATTGCAAGTTTATTGTCAAGCTACAAATCTTCAACCCAGATCATGAGTCGTTCAATGACTGAGCAGGAGAAATGTGGTGAGGCTTCTTCACGTATTTCTTGAACTCTTGCTAAGCATATGAAACCATTTATCGATGCCGACATAGTTAAGGAATGTATGCTCGCGGCAGGCAATGTTGTTGAGAACAGAAAAGATGTTGTTGAAACTATTCGGCGGATTCCGTTATAGCGACTACTAACTCAAGTAATACACATGTTTCGGCAGAAGAAAATAATTACGATGTGAAACGGCAGCTAAAAACAGACTATTATGACTTGGCTATGGATGAATCATGTGACACTACTGATAAAGCACTGGTTATTTTTGTACATTACTTGGACAAATTGAGAGAAACTTTTGTTGAGGAGTTATTTTGCCGTTAATTGGAAGAACACGGTGAGGAGACATGATCAACGCGGTGATGGATTATTTCGATAAAAATGAGTTAAACTTGAAAAAGCTTTTGTCTGTAACTACCGACTATTCACCAGCGATGGTTGGGGCTAAAAAGGACTGGTTCACCTATTGAGAACCAATGCAAAATGTAATGAAAATTTGATTTCTTACCACTGTATGTATTCAGCCCTTTTTAACGTCCCACTGCTGGGCACGGGCCTTCCTTCAGTACGAGGGGGATCAGGCCATAGTCCACCACGCTGGCCAAGTGCGGATTGGCGGACTTCACATGTCTTTCGAAAACTTGCTAGGTTCTCTCAAACATGCAGGTTTCCTCACGATGTTTTCCTTTACCGTAAGGCAAGTGGTAATCATGTTAGAAATGATTCGCACGTGAAAATATCAGAGATGCGAGACCCGGCAAAATTCAATTCTAAAGCTAAATAATAAATTTTCTTCGTGCAAAATCATCACTGAAACATCGTGAATTAAAAATATTTCTTGATGAAGTTGATGCACAATATGACGATCTATTGTTGCATAATAACGTGAGATGGTTAAACAAAGGCTGCATTTTACAATGATTCTTCGCCATTTTAGAAGACTTAAGTCATTTCTGTTCAACATTGATCAAATTTTAGCAAACGCCTACTTAAATTTTTCTAAACGATAATGAAAATTTAACTTCCATCGCTTTCTTATCGGATATTTTTAGACATATTAATGATCTGAACCTTCACACACGTAAACAACAAAATCACCTCAAGCCACAAGATAGTAAACCAATGCAGGCGCATGGTAGGGAAGCAATGGGGTTTTACACCGAAAACAATGCTCTGGCTCTACACCACGGTGGTACGAGCATCCCTTACTTACACCAGTTTAGTCTGGTGGCCCAGAACAGAACTATACACAATCTAGAACGAGCTTCAAAAGTTCCAAAGAACAGCCACTCTAGCAGTGACAGGCTGCATGAAAACTGCTCCATCAGCTGCCCTAGAAATAATCTTGGGCATACCCCCACTACACGTCTTATAAAACAAGAAGCTGCCTTGTCAGCTCTAAGACTACAATCATTTAACTTATGGAAACACAATTTGGGTAAACATACCAAGAGAGAATAAGTAAAACCCACATCATCGAAAAACATTATATCATCAATCCAACAGATATAGATAGACCCAAACTAAAAACGGTGGTGGAAATGATAACAGGACACTGCCATCTCAACAAACATTTTTTAACATAGGTCACACGGACAGCCCCCTCTGCAGAGCGTGTCTCCAAGAAAATGAAACACCAGCTCACATTCTGATAGAATGTAGTGCACTGGAACCATTACGCGAAGAAAGACTCGGCCCCAAAAGATCGATCCCAGAAATCTTCCAGGATACCGACAGCCTGCTAGACTACTGGGACGCTCTGGGGTGGAAAGAATAATACACACAGCAGCACAAGCTTACGGTCAACGGGCAAAGATGCCTAAGTGCGGAAAAGCCGTGCCAGAAGAAGAAGATCTGAACCTTAAACTTCAAGGCAAAAAAAAGCTTGTAGGAATTGGATCTTCGGACAGAAGTAAAAAACTTTTCGCGAAAACTCGATCTATTTAATAACGATCTTGATAATGAACGCGTCGCGGCTAACCCCATCTAGCTTGTACATAAGGCAACTGCCTTTGGAACTTGAAGTAGTTGCCACCGTTGGCCGTTGTGTGGCGCTACGGTGATTTTCCCGGTGTCTATTTTTTGTGTGTAACATCATAGACAAGTCATAGACATTAATTAGATAGTTACAAGTGGAAATTCAAATCTTTCATTCTCTTTGTTAACTCGTAACGCTCCGAACATATTTTATATACGAACCATTGTAAAACACGAAATTAAACGTAATTCGAGATAGTCTACGTTTTATTTGAAGACCGCCGTAGTTTTTGGCTGATCGTTGCTGCACCAGAACGCTTTCACTTTCCTAATTTAAAAAAAAAATCCGCAGTGACAACGAGATTGACGTCGGCCAATATAAGACATTTATTAAGGATCTTAAATCGGAATTCGAAAATTGAGAATGTCGTCGAGATCCTCAGCAACTTTTACTCTCTGCATCCTGATGGTGAATGGAGCAATGATGCTGAAAATGTTTTCGGAAGTAATAAAGCTACTCTCCAGATAGAAATTATCGATTTCCAAGAAAATACAATTTTAAAAACTTACAAAAATACAGCAGTTCCTTGTGAAGAATTTTGGGTAAAAGTTGTGTGTGGGAATAAATACCCAGAATTAAGAAAAATAGCCTTGAAACTCCTTACTTTGTTTGGGTCAACATATACATGTGAAGCTACATTTTCCAAGATGAACTTTACTAAAAATAAATTTCGGAGTAGAGTAGTAGACTTACCGATGAATACTCCAAGATTTAATGACAATAGCCCGCACCAACTTTAGTCCAAACTTCGGATGTACAGTTCAAAGGAAAAAATGTCATTTTTCACATTAATATTTGAAAAAACCTTGGTTGAACATTAAAAAAGTTTTAGTGTTAAAAATTTATGTAATGTTGTCTAACATTTATTTACAGCTGTGTGGAAGCACAATTTCATACTATAATCCATTTCATAACGCAGTTAGATACCCGGAGGTCGAGCTATCGACTAGCACAGACTTACGGAACTATGACATTGAAAATATGCATAAATTTCTACTGAATAAAAAAAATCACTTTTTTTCTTCGGCCAGTGCTTGTCCCAAGGAAGCTGTGGCGACGGATGGATTGGCTGCCGTCACGATTTTATCCAACAACACTTGTGTCTGCATCTAAAAATAAAAGATTCTGTATAAAGCTTTCAGCACAGTATTTTTAATTTATTAATAGTTTCTTAATAGGAGGCAGTGGTAGCCCAGTAGTAACGCAGTCGCGGGAAACCGAGTGAAGCGGGTTCAAATCTCGGGTCTCGTACCTCTGATATTTTCATGTATGAAACATTTCTAACACGATTACCAGTTTTCTTATGGTGAAGGTAAACATCGTGAGCAAACCTGCAACTCAACAAGTTTTCGATTGACATGTGCAGTCTGACCGCACTTGGCGCGCGTGGTATCCCCCTCTTATTGAAGATAGGCCCGTGCCCAGCAGTGGGACGTAAAAAGGGCTGAATATTTATTAATAGTTTCTTAGATTTTCGTCAATATTTGACATTTTAAATGAAGCTACCTTTCCAGATTATGTCACAGTCTTATTTTATTTTTTCCGCGTTTCAAGTGCTTTGCAAAATAACATTAAAAGTTTAAAAACAAGATGAAATCCATAAAGGTAGTTTCATTTAAAAGCTAACAACATTTTATATTACTGGATGCAATTGTAAACATATTTTAATATAAAGTAGTAAGTAGTTTAGATGTATTTGAATATTGGGTATTTTACATAGTATAAAATGAAGTCGCTTCCGCTGTCTGTTCATTTAGATCTTTTAAACTACTCAACGGATTTTAATGCAGTTTTCAGCAATATATAGTGATTCAGTAGAAAGGTTTATATGTATAATACATGAATATTATAGTTCAGAAAAGCCGAGATATTCAAAGATTTGTATTTCATACTAACCATTAAAACATACCTAAGGACAAACCCGAGTGAAGCGAATGTGAGTCGCTTGTTGGGTAGTAATTAAAATACAGAATTATTTATGTATTTGTTCCAACTCATGGAACTATATTTTTTATCTATACAAATAAATAAAATTGGACTATGTTTGTAATGTTAAAATAACAGCTTTTTACTAAATAATTATAAGGAAAAACTATTTTTAAAATTTTTATCTGTCTATTCTGTTTAATATCCGAAACAGCTGGACCGATTTTGACAGGACTTTCACTGGTATAGCTGATGTTATAAGGACTAAATTAGGCTACTTTTATTTTAGACAAAATAATTAGGGTTCCCTGGAAAAACAATTACAACCCATGAAATTGTGAACAAAATCCATGTATCTAGGGATGCACCCGAGTGAGGCGAGGGTAAGCCACTAGTTTTGTAATAAAATGAACAAACCCTAACTATATTAGATAGTGCTCTTTTTGCACTGGTGTTGTCTCCATTATCCAAAAGACAATTTGTAAATACAAATTGACAAATATTATGATTCAATTTAAATTTTAGAAATTTAATATGTTCATTTTAATAAATGTTTAGTTTTAATGTCACTTATTTTACACCAATTTTCAATATAGTCTATGCATTTAGTTACTTGCTTTTCTGTTAATATGTAATTACATGAATAAAATATTTACATCTCTAGTTTTTCCTCTTGCTGCATCTCTAACCCTTTCCAATTCTTCTGCAAGCTTTATGGATTTTTCTTGAGTTCTTTTTCTGTGCATAAAATAGGACTCCCTGAATATAGTAATGTAACATATAATAATTAATTTGTTTATTTATTTCACATGATGTTTGGTTTTTAAAATTTGATTCAAATCAACTGACTAAAAATATTACATACTACTTTATTCTGACTACACAGTACGAAAATGTACTGGATTTGAATAGAAATATTTTATATACTGTATTTTCTTTAATATAACTTTTAAACTCATAGTAATCAATATTTTACATACCTAATTACAACCACTTGTAAAATGACACCAATAATGGCCACACCAAAACAAATCATAACAAGTGTTATGTTTGGTATCTTATGCACTCCTTTTACTCCATAATATGAATCTGAATTTGTATTATTTGTAGATTTAGTATTTGCATTATAGTACCCATATTGTGGATTTTTTCTAAGACTGAAAAAAAAAGAAAATGGAACTTATTTTGTGTTATTTTGTAAAAATTATTGCTTATTTTTTAAATTTAAAAGAAAAAATTTAAAATTTGGGCTGTTTTTATAATTCGAAAATAATGTTAATTTTGTTTCTTATAGTAAAAAGATTTAACTAAAAACTTAAACTTTAGACTGAATAACAATATTAAATTTTAATTTAATCTATTGCAATTGTAAATTTATACATACTTATAAGGTACATGAGTTTTATAAACATAGGAATACCCTTCTACTTCTGACATTTGGTCATATTGTGCCCTACTACTTGGTTTTCCCAGAACATTATAGGCTTCCACAATTCGTACAAAATTCTCTTGAGCCTTTGAACTTTTGTTTTTGTCTGGATGGTACTGCAACATGGTTTTACAAGAGATGAAAGCAAATTTGAATAAAATGTATTACAATTAAAATTTATTACAAAAATTATTAAAGAAAAAAAAAATTGGTATGTTTTTGAACTCACCTCCTTGCTCATCTGTATAAATGCATCCTTTATTTCCTTGTCTGTACAGGTCTTGTGTAGATTAAGAACTTCATAATGTGTTCTTCTTCCTGAACTATAAAATAATATAAAATATAATCATAACTAGGATTTGCGTTGTTTTAAATTAACAACAATGAAAGCTGTTTTGTAACTTACCTGTATAATCTTAAAAATGACCATACGTGTTTAAAAGGAGTATTTCTTTTTAAAGAATACATAACGATTTTGTAAGGCCAAAAGTTAAATTAGTATCATATTGAATGTTGTCGACGTCGTTGATCATGGTAATATTTGGCAATTTCCAATATTGTCAAGACAAAAAACTAAAAAGTAGTCACGTCAAATGCCAAAGTCAGTTTTCTATCTGTCAAGTGTCAAGCTTCAAGAATTAGTCCAGAATAAATATAAATAAATTCGTTAACATCTTGTTTGTTGTAAATGGGTTCAGATTTTATTAAATTTAAATGTAATCAAATCTTAGTGCAACATACCTTTTTTTTGGCATATTCATCTCATCTCCATACTTACCATTATTATTTATTTAGGTAGGTACAGAAATAGAAAACAAATTAAAAAAATTACATCTACTTAATAAAACTAAAAATATCATTTTAAATTTGTTGTCCAATTGTATCTGTACACAACATTCAAATAAAACATATAATAATTATATACAAACAAACTTAATCAGAAAGTAAAGAAGTACGAGTCTGTGCATTTAAAGTTACGAGTACATAAAAATTATTAAAAAACAAAAAGAAAAAAATATTTACATTTCAATTTTCATGTGGAACAATAGATAAACAAAAAAAATTAAAGGAGAAGAAACAGAGAGGAAATATATCCTTATTGTCGAAAATATATTAGCAAATTAAACTTAACAGTCACTTCTAAAAGCCATGAAACAAAAAAAAATGTATTAAATTTAGTTCGAAATCAGTTTATTATTAGTAGTTAAGAACTAAAATGTCTGTATTTTGATGAAATTAAAACAACGACTTTTTTTGACTTCAGTTTTTTTTTATATTCATGTATGCTACATATTCGATGAAAACGAAATAATGAATATTTTTTCGATATAATGAGGGAAATATCAAGAGTTAAAGCCTTAAGTTATAAACACTTAATAACATAAAATAATCTTTTTTTATAGAATTCTACAGAATCTAATGGGTTTTCTTTTTTTCTTCTTAATTGAAAATCTGGCATCTAGCTCCGCGCTTACCACAATTTTTTAAGATCACAATAATTGATTTCCATACCGAATGCTTTGAAGATGTGCTCTTAGTGCGCGCGATTAGTGTTTGAGCATTAGCCACTATTTTAGAACGAATTAGCCACTTTTAGTTTTATTTTATTATTTTATATTTAGTATAGTTATATTTTATAATTAGTGGCTAATTCGTATGTGTTTGAGATATTAGGTATGGTATGTTTTTTAAAATGCATTCCTAAACAAACATTTTTTTCTTCCAACCTATTTATGTACACTAATGAGTAATGACATAAAATAGGAAAACAATTTATCAAAAATCACAAAAGCGTGCACAAAAGACGGCCTTATTGCTAATTAGCGATTTCTTCCAGACACGATGGACCATTACGAAGTTCAGGCTATGGTGGCTTTGGCAGGTACACGGTACTAAAGGTGTGTAAAATACCGATCTAAATTCGTCAAATAATAAAGTGTGATTTTTTGGTATTACCTTCAGAATATTATTAAAAATCACGTCATTCAATGCCAGACACTTAACATCGTGGCAAACCCTTGCCAGACACCCTTTTCATGAAATCATAATTCTACTTACGTTATAGTATAAAAGCTGATTTTTATATATAACTAGCATTGCCCGCGGCTCCGCCCGCGTTCAGATGACCAAAAACTAAATTCTTAGGTGTTACATATTAGTATACTCTTACATTGCAGTTTTTGTATTTTTCCTCAGAAATAAGATATTTTCCCGCGGTAAAAAGTATCCTAGGATCGCGCGCTACATCGCCCGGTTTATATAGCTTGAGCAGGCGGTCGAGCGATGCGGGGCAGAGGGGATGGACTCGCCGTAGGCATCTCAATGCTCGCCAAGCATTAAAAATGTTTCGCTACTAATTACTTCTAACAACGATATCTCAAAAACTATTCATCTGATTGATTTAGTGTAAAGAGCAATTTTAATCTGCATTAAATGACTAAGCTAACTAAAATATTCATTTGGATAAGGATTAATACCGAACTAAAGAAAATAACTTTGAAAATAACGTAATGTTTTTAATTAAAAATGTTAACATAAAAGTGGTTATTGTAAGTCAACCGTAAGAGATAGAGATATGCTATCGCGGACTTTTTTGTAGCATTTTTATAGATTTTGAATTCTCTAGTACATTACTTAACTGTATCTTTGCTAGTTTACGCGGCGTTCGCGTGGAAAGTTCCCATTTGGCGAGATTTTTTGCGACCTCTTCAACATTTGTCGCCGTATTTCAGCTAATTTACATAAAAGCATAATAAATTATATACCTAAACCTTCCTCAAGAATTACTCTTTCTATTGTTGAAAACCGTATAAAAATCCGTTCAGTAGTTTTCGAGTTTATCGCGTACAGACAGACAGGAGGACAGACAGGAGGACAGAAAGACGCGGCCGGGGGACTTATTTTTATAATAAGTATAGATACTTGGGTAATAATTAAATGATTTATAAGACTAGTAGCATTGCATTTATTACACACCATGAAAAATGTTCCAAATAAGTTGGTAGGCATTTCTAAGAAAATGTTGCAAATGGTCACCAAATTTGAAGCGCTAAGATTTGGCTTTATTAAATTAAAATAGACAATATCATTGTCGCTATCTCATTTAGTAATCTTTTTAATAATAATGATTATTATATTTAATAATTTGGAACGTTTTATATGAATAGGCAAACTATTTCAGTTTGGTTCCTTATACAGAATAGGAGTGCTCAAAGTATTTATTTAATGATTTATTATTAAAGTTATACATAACACTAATATCTCTTTGAAGTGCATTTCTAAAATCAGCATGTTTTATCTTCTGGCGATAGTTGAGGTGGTCGCACCATACAAACGCAGTCGAGTAAAGGTAGCTGTGACAATATTTTAGTTTTCCTCATATTAGATTATTTTTAGAAACACCTACACAAACAAAAATTACTTTTGCCAGACAGGTTAATGTAATGTGTGTGTAATAAATTTTCTTTTTTTAAATGTAGATATTATAATGTTAACATTTTAGCATCAAAAAGAATTTCCGGAAAGATACGCATTTGACGGAAAAATAAAAATTTAAAATACATAATATACCTTTAACTGGACTGTAAAAATTCAAATATAATATAATTAATTGTATATGCTTAATTATGAATGGAATAATATGTTTAGTTAAGAAAAAATCAGCTTTAAATAACTTACATAATTAAATATGTAAATATGTCTAAATATGTAAATAGTTTTTTGAAAGATGTGCCTATTGTATATCATTTACAATTTCTTACAAACGGCGACTTTTACGTACTTTAGTAAATTAAGTAAAGATATATGTACAAATAGTAAATACACCCTCACTGAGAGTTGAGACTTGAGACCGACGCGACACAGTTGGCACGATACGGATTACGCCTTACGGGTTACGACGGCGCAGTGTTCGCGCGATAAACGGCGCGGGTGGACGTACGGTCATGCGAGAAGCGGCTGGTAGGATGGCCGAACTAGAGTTCGAGGCGCCACTTGCTCAAATCGAAGAGGCGGACGACTGCCTTTCAACGGCGGATTACCCGCAGAAGACCATAAATGGCAACGATATACGCCTCAATAACATCAACAACCTTAAAAATGATTTCGTCAAAATGCAAACTGACTCCAATAAAATCAACGATAATGACGAGCCGAGACTGGTGAAGTGTAAACAGGACAATATGCAAAACTGTGAAGGCGACAATTTTACAGAGACTTTCTCTGGGTCACTTGAAGATCTAGTGAACACTTTTGATGAGAAAATCACGAAGTGCTTTGGAAATTATGAAGAAAGCGTGGAGAAGCTGGCCCCGGTGCAAGTTCGTTCTCAGGAGGAAATAATGAACGAATGCCAGTGAGTATTAATTATCACTGAATAAGTCCAATTAGAGCATTTGATTACATATTATGATATCATCGATTTAGTCAGATGCATATTATCAGTAAATTTCAGAATATTATTTTTAATTCTGTCATTTATTTTTGGTTTCCTAAAGTAATATTTTGTAGTTATCTTTATTAAATAAAAAACTTTAAGATTAAAAGATAAGTGAAATTTTCGAAGCATAAACAAAAAGGGCGGGCTCTGCGCATGGCGTTAGTAGTTGCGGGATCGATCAATGTTTTGGTTGGGGGTGTAGAGGGTGCGTGGAGGGTAGTGATGACGCATCCCGTCGCGCCCTGCTTTGTTACCAAACCCCCGCGACGAAATACAACTCGCGGCCAGCCACTGACCTTTCATGACATAATTGCACTGATAAGTTCGTAACCTACTCTTAACTTTATGATAGTGATATCTTAAAAAATATTTGCAACTGCTTTTTGATATTTTTATTAAATGTATCATCATAAGTTATTTTAATACCACACTAAAGGCGGTTTAGTTACGAAGGCGTATTTTTATTTTTGTGTAGCTATATTATTTTAATATATGCTAAGCTAATAATAATAAAGTAGTTAGACTAATGCTTTCTTTTTATTGTCATACAAAAAAAATACATGATTTTTTTTCTTTAGAAAATATAATATGTGTGACAATTTTTCTTTAGCTCTTTAAATCTTAAGTGTTACCTGCCAACTTTCGAATAATAAACATGTATATAACATCGTCTTTTAGACCTTTAGAATCACATAGCAGCTTCATCAAAAGATACACAAACAATACTTTAAAAAGACTACTCTGAAGACTGCCTCATGGTCACATTCAAGCGTCTTTCTCATTTATGAGAAACTTAACATAATAGCGCGGCTCCCACATCTCCCCATTGTTTTATTTAGCGAAGAGCTTTCTGCTGTACTTTTTATACCTTACGATGGGAATAGAAACAACTAAGTACTTCATTTTGTCTTGCGCTAAAATAAATTTTTGGTAACAGTATTCATAAAAGAACTAATTAAATAAATATTTTGAACGGTTGAAAAAACTAAAAAATATTATAAAAAAATATAGTTTTGTAAACATAGCTTTGTTCTCATGTCAAGTAAACTTTTGGAACCAATCCAGATGACCCAGATGCCACAGTGTCGGGTAAACTAATAAACGCTGAAATTTGCAAACATTTTAAGGGACGCGTCGAACTTCTCATTGACATATTAACAATCTTTTAGTATCAATTAACCCCTTTAAGAAATTGGAAACAGATGCTGAACAATACGATATAAAATACTAGTTCTAAGAAATCAAACACTGAAGAAACAAAAGATCGTAAAAATCTGTTAAAATTTATTATTGTTTTACTATCTTGCTAATATATGTGCATTATTATACCATTATTCTGTTTACATTACTAATATAGGTAATACGTATAAATACATATGAATATTATTATTAATACAACGATATTATTAGACTCATTTAATACGTGAATTTTTTTAAGGATCATTTGCAAGTCAAACCTGTCACGTTGAACAGGTGTATGGCGTAAGCATTGATTCCGTAGAGATTGTAGCGGAGCAGAGTGCGCAGATGTTGCTTCCACCTTGTTTGATTTCCAAGAACACCTTGTCGAATATTGAATATCCTCCATATGGCTTACCAAATGTCCTCACAATTTTTCTTAACTGCTACGTATAAATTATATGGAGCAGTACGCATTAAATTAATATTTTATTTACGTATTTCATGTTCTCAGTACCCAGAAAACTCGTCATTAGCGCGAAGGGAATGATGAAGAGAAATCTTCAGCCAAAGTGCATTGTTTAATATATAAGTGAAAATAGATGATGAGTGCTGTCGCTTCAAGTACTTCGGACTCTGTCTTCTAGAAATATTCTAGATATTGATGTTGTTTTGGTTAAAATACGACTTAGTTACTTTTCTCAATTATTATTCTGAGAAGAGGTAAAAAATGCAACGAATACTTAGCATTAAATGCTAGCTGTAATATATATTTCTGTTATGAAATTTAAATTATTTTGAAAAGAAATTGTAATATCGCAATTACTACTAATAAGTTAATATATACATATACATATGTATAATAAAATTCTAATTGAGTCGAACCTGTAAATTAAATATTTTTTGGACAAGCTTATTGAAATAGTCATTATTATCGATACAGAGACAGAGTCTATAGTTTTTAGAATTTTTGTCTGTCTGTCTAGAAACGTATCACGAGACTGCTGGACATATTTTGATGAAAAATGGTATGATGATAGCTGGTTATCTCTGAGAAATCTAAAGTAAATGTTAAAACGCAACTAGGGACGAACCCGAGCGGAGCGAGCATGTAGTAGAACATAAGATTCGATAATTGCTTGGAATAATATTAATAATAACCAAATTACATACTTATTACTGAGCTTAAAATTTGGTTAACTGCTTTGTTGCCATGTGAATTAAAGCACAAAAAATACTTTTTAATATGGATGCTGTTTTGATGACAGTATACAAGTTTAAGCTCAGTTTATTGAATTTATTCATTACAAAGTTGCTATTCACGATGAAGCGCCGTGTATTAACATCCATCGGCGGCACACGACGCACGTCCGTCTTGATGCAGTTCCTGTTGAATACAAATGACAGCTATCACGTTTGCAAAGATCTTGCTTTTATTTTTATTTCATTAGATACTACTTGACTTAACAGACGTTGTCCTGTTCACAACAATTTTCTTTGTGATTTTTGATTTATTACAAAAAGGGAATGAACACTTGTATTTTCCGGGCAACTTTTCTATTCTTTCTTCTATCTTTAGAAATCTCTTCGAGACTATTACGAACACACAAATTAGTCAAATCGGTAGAGCTATTCTGAAGTGATGCGCATACATATCAACCAACTAATTACAGTTTTTTTCATGACATTCTGTCCAATATGATATACGACCTTATTAATGTAACAGATATTATATGAAGCCAAAAAATATAATTACAGTTTTTCATTATTTTTCGCTTTCAAGATATAACACTGAACTACTGCAGTAAACAAAAGTGTATTATATTTTAATGCGAATCAAAAAACAGCTATATTTATTTGAAAATGTTGAAGAACGGTGAAAATATAATGATATATTGAAAATAATTACCTAATTTATCATAATACTTTACAAACCCAATACAGTGTCTTATGTATTATACATCAAAGCTTTAATAATGAACAAGTAAAATCCGCATAAAAATATACAGTGTAAAATGAGTAAACATTCGATCTTGATCTCTAGAGAAACCTAGTAACTGGTATTATGTGTGAAGTTATTTTCTAACGTGAACCTTGAACGCAATAACCGTTATTATTAGATATATTATTTCGACGCACAATTTTGTAGAATGTAGTATATAGATATGCATAATGAGTCTATAATATCCTGTGACCTTACATCGTATGCATTTGCGTGATCGATACCCATTTCACAACCACAGCATAAATGTAAGTGCTCGTCTCAATTTTCAAACATGTTTTAACGTAAATACTACCGATAAAACGATAACTGATCGCATGTCTGTTTAAATCGCTTAATTGGTCTGGCCTTCCTGAATATTCAGCTTTCTAAAAAATATACCTAAGTTTCAAATAATATAGTACTAATGAAAATATGAGAACAATATCGTCGAAACAGAAATAAATGAATTTAGAAGTTTAGAAGTAAGTATCGAGCGTAGACCCTTGTATAATTGTTGAAGGTCAGCAAGACATATATACGCATTTATAGTTAACTAGCGACTGACCCTCGCTTTGCTAGGGTTCGTCCCTAGCTTGATTCCCCATACAAACTTTCATCCCCATTTTAACCCCTCAAGGAATGATTTCCGAGATGAAAAGTATCCTACGTCCTTCCCAGGGCCCCAAATAATTTTCTTACCAAACATAAATCGCTTCAGTAGATCCAAAGATTACCCCCTACAACGTCACAAACTCGCAAACTGTACCTCTTTATAATATTAAGTATGATTCCTATTACAATTTTCCACACCCTTTTCATCAGTTCAGCGGACTAAGCGTGAAAAGGTAACAGACAGACAGATTACTTTCGTAATTATAGTAATGGTATGGATCTATTTATTAAAGAGTAATGTAGGCAATTAGCTGAAAATTTGTTCTTATCTTTTTGCGAGTTTACATTTATATCAGTTGTTCTAGTGCGGATGCGTGTCCTAGATGATAGTAGGTGCGTCAAATTAGCAGAGCTCGTAGTGTACGCGACTATTGGCATACCTCCGTAACGTCACGTTAGTACAAACGTACATTTTTTTCTTCCTTCCTCTCGGGTATTAGCAATTCAATGAACGAATACTTTATTTTATCAAACGTTGTACAGGATGGAACCTTATCACACTCACACGGTTTGGTTTACACAAAAAATAACTTTCAAATGAAATGCATTTTTTTCTCATCATCATCATTGCTCTTACATCTAATATCCCGGATATTATAATATGCATTTGCATATTAAAAGATAAATAAAATGTTTTTTTTTATTACTTACCTGTTTAGATATCTTACTTTGGTATCATCATAAAAAATAAACCGGTTTTGAGATCCATATGTAAGTATATTTGTAAAGTACTAACACCTTGAAATAAAGTAAACAATTAAGTAATAGTGAGTCCTCGTACAAATTTAGTAAAATATGGAGTTACAATTGAATCGTATCAAGACGATGCTTATATTGAAGACTGGTCAAACATCACCCACTCATGCGGGCAGAGTGAACGACCTACGATTCGCAAAGAACTACCCACATTAATACATAATTACCCGTTGATTTACCTGTACTTTGTAGCGTACAATACGTTTTAAATAAAGTAGGGAATATTAACAACTATAGAATGAAAAGGTATTATTAAAGAACCTTTTCGGTGCACGATCCGGTTCACGAAGGTAATCCTTTCTTTAGAAAGTTAATGTTAAATAGC